AGCTAAATTCTGGCGTATATTCAGATGAGTGAATTTAAAGCCCATGTCATCAACTACTAAGACAAACAACCAGGCTTTTTATTTTATGAAAAAAATATCTTGCTGAAAATTTGCACCAAAATGACAGGAAAAGTTAATGTTCCTTACGAAGCCGTATTAATACACTTCAAATGTCTGCGAAGTAAAAAATGTGGTTCTCCAAACCTGCTGCGTGAATGACTGGTTAACAAAAACCAACATATGCACCTACACATTTTAGCTCTGTATATTGTCAGTTCACAGAAGTAATAGAAGCGTTCAATTTTTTCCAACTTTAACTTAGTTCTTACTTAGTATTGGCCATGATGGGATTCAGAAATATGGAGTTCTGAAGTTCATTATTGTTAACCTATCTGAGTGTAGTGTATTTTGCTGCATAGTCATTAACCTTGAACTATACCAACTTTTAAATGTTATGAAAACTTTTGACTTTCACTAAAATTCTTTGATTATCAAGAGACTTAGATCACTTGCCTAAAAAGAGAAATCACGGGTAATTCGATATTTTGAACTAGTCTGAAGTTCACAAAATCTCAAAATTAGAATTTCATTAATGCCATTAGAAATAAGGCTTATTTAGTGAGTTTCACTGGAACAAAGTAGACAAATTAAATAAACCAGAAGAGTATGATAAATAGATCATTTTCAAACCACCACCATGCAACATAGTGGAATATCTGACCTTAGTGGATTCTATTTAGCAACTTGTTTAAAATGTCGCGTTTCTACTAATTAAAAAGTGTCTCGAAGCTTCAGCATTTGAAACCCTTTAATGCTTCTTGAATAGACAGTGTAATGATTACCGTTTCCCCTAAAGTATAGTTTACATAGTGGCTTAGAAGACCTTATCACCCATCACACTGAATAAGCACAGCTTGAAGTAGATGTAAGAGTTTCAGTTTCAGCAAACCCCAAGTAAGACCTTCACTGAATGTTGATTGATCAGTATGTGTATGCTTAGAAGCATATCTAATAATGGATGTCTTAATAACTCAACTTTCCAATATAGTGTTCAAACGTTGGCGGCTTGTTGCATAAGTGTGAAGCGACAGGCTACGTCGTTGCACAACACGTGCTATGTAACGTAATTGTCCTGTTCCCATATGTCCAAATGTATAACAGTTGTAAACCACCACTGAGGGCCAGTTACATCCCGTTTGCAAAATTTAACTTAGATTTACAAAAATTAGGTAGCTGCGCTACCTGGCGGAAATTGCACAAACTGATTACAGGAGACCATAGAAGTTTCAGCTAGTACCGTTTTAAGATTCTAACTACTGCTATATATGAGAACAAAATAATAATAATATTCATGAATATAAAGGCACACATCACTTATACAGGTGAATAAATTCTTACGTAAAACATATATGAAACCATACGGAAACGTATATAGAAAATACTACGAAAAGGTTAATCAGTTCAGAAGTCACAGAACACAACACTGTATAACATATTTCGGTCACTAATACTCGTGACTGCAAGACCATATGAAAACACAAAATCCATAGTCCAGCTAGATGGAAGTAGATACAATAAAGTACCCAATGGGGAAACGTGTGTGAACAATGCCAGGTAGCCTAGTAGCAAGTAAGCTGGTAGAGGTGCTCAATTAGACACATTTAGTCAGGTCAATTCAATAAGCATAGGAACATCAGTGCTGTAAAAGACTGATTTAGAGATGCTGTATACCGTCACAAATTCGACAGATATGACCAATTGTCTTTCACATCGTGAAGAACTTGACAACAGTGAATGATGTTTGTTTTTATTAAGGATGCATATAATGTTACCAAAAGATATAACTTGACTCAAGACAACCCAAACATTAAAGTTTCATTAGAAAAAGTAAAGTATTATGGATATGCGTAAGATACGGTGTGAAATACCAACCGTTAATACAAACATCATCTAAAATTTTCCCCTTTAAACCTACATATACAAGCAAGAATTTTCAACTATACTAGTAAACAGCATTATAAACTATCTTTATGCCTCAGTATCCATAATCCAACTTTGATAGAAAACTCCTACAAACCTACTGAACTGAAAAATTTTGAACCAGTGTCTTCTAAAACAATTTTGTTTCTCCAATACTACAATATGCTTCTATAAGTTTCCATGGTACCTAAAATGTTTTCAGTGTGAAGAATGATTCGTGTCAATTTTGCAGTCTGTTGTTTCTTTAGTATGAGGTGTTCTGCTTCACTTATTAACTTAATTAGAATCACCTTCCGTAGTCAAAAACTTTTTTTATGATTAGTAAAATTAACCATTAAAAACAAAACCTTGAGTATATTTAACAGGATGACTATTTACGCAGATGAAAGTGGCGTGGTAAATTTCCTGGTACGTTTCGCAGGCAGAGTCCACGATGTCATTTCTAGTGTTTGTACGATAGAAAACACTGAAACTACCATGAGAAAGATGTCAGCTAATTTTCACACAGAAAAATTTATCTTGATGATTATTAAAAAGACCAATCCTATATGTTTAATTACCATGAGCCCTGAATTCTCTGTCCTTATAATCGATTCATTCTGAACAAATGAAGAATTCAAAGACCTAATACATTTGAGTTGCTGGATAAATGCACAATCTGCTAGATCGTTGTCATTGCGAAATTTATTTCACTAGCACTAGGTCACAGGCAAGAGAAACCTTCATGTCAAATAGATCGTTGTTCCATCATGAAGTGGTTCTATAACCGCTTCCAAGCTTAAGAGAGTCAAGTAAACTTGAGATTGTTTTGAAATGACGATTCACATAGCATATTTTGATAATTTCAGTTACCATTATGTAGTAGAGTTGATGTAACTGGGATGTGAACTTCAAATCTTTTCTACAACGGTAAAATAAAATTGCGTCTGATATCATTCGACTATTTTCTAAAATTTTCACCTAAAACTTTGATCAATTCTGAAGTTCTTCCAATGTCAAACTTTTCGAATAATTTCAACTTTTTCTTTTTAAAGCAGTCCTTCCTTTTCCTCTGAATACTGGTTTCTCTTCAACATATGATTTAAACTATTTCAGTGGTCTCCTTCTTGTGACTAGTTTGACCACTCACATGGGAGAGGTAGCTCATCGGTTTAGGCAGCTGACTTCCAACCAGCAGATCACGGGTTCGAACTCAGGCCCACTTACTGAGGTTTCGGCAGCCAGATAGTATCATTAACCCTCACAAAATATATGTGGCTCATTGACTACTGCACGGACATGCAGTTGATAACTGATTTCGCCTTCAGACAGCTACCTAGGCAGCATCGTTTCAACTACATGGAGGCAGAGATGAGGATGTCAAAACCATGATTGAGAAAGCAAGACAGCTCTTCATTAACCTGAAACGAGTGTGGAGATCTATAGTACTCTGCTCAGTGTAAAGCATGAATAAGATCTGGATTTTCAACACAAGTGTCAAGTCAGTGCTTCCATATGGTTCAGAAACTTGGCGTGTCACGAAAAGCATAACAACAAACTACAGCCATTCATCAATAGCTGCCTATGCTCGACACGGAAGACCAGATGGCCAGGAAGAATAAACAACAAGGAACTCTGGCAACGGATATGCAGAAGAAAGTGGAGATGGATTGGATTGGGCATACAGTGAGAAGGTTGATTGGGGACATCATGCGCCAGGCCAGGCCGTCAAGTGGAATCCAAAGGGGAAACGACGAGTTGTGCGTCCGAGATGAGGGTGACATGGAGGAGATCATGTGAGGAAGAAATAAAAGCTTGTGGGCAGTCGTGGAGTTAGGTTGAGAAGACTGGAGAAAACAAAATGGAATGGAGATGTGCTACTGAAGCCTTATGTTCCACTAGGAACCTAAGGGACAAATAATAATAATAACAGTTAATAAAATGTTAACCTACAGAATCGCTTTTCTGTCTGTTTTTCAAGTATGATGCTCTCGAAAATAATTTCAGATTTGTGAATACTGCGTCCGATGTACTACTCATGCTAAAACCAAGTGCCTTAAATGTTGACAATAAGGCAGAAGGTAACTGAAAAGAGTAGCTTACTGACATACATCTGGTCATCATTATCCACGAGTTGAAAGCAAGACCAGATTTGCCTTGAAGCATTGAAGTAAGTATAAAGTTTATTCATATGTCCATAAAACGATAACTATCTGACCCAACCCTCATACAAAGTTAGTAAGTACACAGAGTTCCTCGTGAAAACAAAAATTACAGCTTGACAGTAAACTGTTACAATCAATGATTCACATCGCTTAGGATTTATATGAAATAATTTCTGAAATAGCAGAGATGTCAATCGACAAGCCCACACTTATATAAAGCTACTTACAAAAAAAATCAATGGCTCCATAACTTTATTTGACCAACCTTTAATTTCCTCAAGTTTATTGTTACCTCAGTGAATATAGTACGGGTGGATAGAGGTGTTCAATGGTAATCCGATTTCGAATAGTACAATTCCATAAATTCACCAACGAATAAAATCCATCGGTTAAAAACCCTAGAGCTAACCAACTAACTCGTATTTAGGTTGGAATCCACCATAGACTGACAACAGTTGGAAGAAAATTGGAAACCTAGGAGAACTGGACGGCTGTTTTGTCCCTGTATGGAACTCCTCAGTGATGCGCACCCATGGCCCCACCGAGAATCGAACCCAGAACCAGCAGGTTCCATGGCCAGCACGTTACTATTGGATCACTGGGTCGGAATTCAATAGTCCACACATCCTACTTCTGTCAGTTCACGATATAACACGACCAACATCCAATGTCGTCGTTGAGTAACTTATGTTCGACTTGGCTGACTCTACTAGTGTACTCTACATGATGTATTCTAACCTAAATTCAATTAATAAATCTCCGCAAACCTCTAGATAGAAATAGCTTGTATCTAGTTGATCAGTAGCATCAGTGTTGTCTTAATCATTTTAAAAAATCAGTTATCATCAGTGACCTTCACTTAACATCGCTTTCCATCTATCTTCTATCCCAAGTACACAAACCACCAGATTGAAATGCATTAAAGACTGTTCACAATTATAATGCATACCTATTTCTTCGATGACAAATAGGAAATTTCATCAATATCAGATTAAATATTCCAAACTTCAAAGCAAAATGATACAAAGTTTGTCAAAAGAAAATTTTTAGTGCATGATAAACAAAACACTGAGATGAAACTCTAAAAAAGATATAAAAATGCAATTATTTCATAAAAACAAGATGACTGTAATACAAATATCTCCTAAAATGTACACATACACACATCATGAAGAAACTAAATAGTTTTTTTTGTGTGAGACAATCAAAAAAAATTATATCATAAAGTATCATATAATACTTTAATTATACTTAAAATAAGAAACATGAATAGTAAAGTTACAAAAAAGAATCTAAAGATAAAATTAAATCATAAAAATTCTTCAAATAAACACTAAAACCAATGACAATTAGAATAATGAATGATAATGTTGACGAGTGGATGGTAGAAGAAGAAAAAAGAAGCGTAAGTACACCTAAATAAACAAGTTGAATATAACCTCAAGAAAAAGAATACACAGAATAAAAACACAAAACCAATCTACAATGAAGTGTACAGGTAAATAAAAATACTGATAAAAATTGTCAGAATAAGCAAAGATAAGTTATATGACATCAAAGTCATACAATATAACAGTTTTATCATATGATCCAGACACTATGACAGAACCTGATATCACAGCACAAGTAACTCCATCTTCATGACCTTGAAGACTATTAACAAAATTATTATCGCCTACTTGCCAAACCTATTTCATTATATAAAAAGTCAAGTTAAAACAAATAATGATGTAATAAAATGAAAAGCAACAGTAGTTTTTTATGTAAGGAAAATATTCAGAAAACGTTTTTTTGTTCTTTCTATTTAACTGAAAAAACAACATGCAAAAAAGCTATTACTTCATGAATGAAAAGAAAGAATTTTGCACTCAGTAACCTTATGTACATTTGTACAGTCAGTAATGAGCCACACCTATTCTATGACGACTGATAATACTACTTGGTTACCCGAACGTTGGTAGGTGAAGCAGGGTTTGAATACGTAAACCACTGGTTGAAAGTCATCTTCCTAAACCGATGAGTCAGTTCCTTCATGGAAGAAGAACACTGAGGAATGAAATTCTAAGCATATTAGAACTTATTGACAAGATAGATCTAAATTCTTAATTAAGTTTAGTACACTTGAGGTTCGTAAAGACAATAACCTGTGCTTTATTCAAGAGCTATCACTAGTGAGTTATTCGCATCACATATGATCTCAAGCAGAAATGCATTAGGTTAACGAAGTTGTTAGAAAATGTGGACATAAGTTCGGTTAGGAATACAGTACAACGTGCTCTATAAAGCCAGTAGAATGGATGTGTCACATGAATACGCAGTGCAAGTCAATATTCCTCACAAAGATTGTGCGATTACTATTTATTATTGACATACTATCTCAATGGATTAGTTGCGAATACGATGACTGTTTGTATTGTCTCTAGATAGCTGAAATTCAAAATGGATTTAGGCTTACATCATTTTCATTGTAGACGATGGAACAGACCTCTTAGCGTGACTATGCAATAATTTATTGATAACAATCAGGGATAAGTATATTTATTGTGGATGCATACAATATTCAAATATGCGCTTCCTCTGAGTTCAAGAGATAATTTTTTTTTCCCTAATAATCAGTAGTGGCCCGCTGATTAATCTAATTTTGAAGTGACTAATACAAGTTGTTGATAGTTTACTGTATGAATAAACATGCAACAAAGAGTAAGAGATGTGGAACATTGTATTCCGATCCAGTGGGTCAATAGCAACGCGGAAACTAAAGGTTCTAAGTTCAATCCCTGGTGGAATTATAGTTACACATTGCTGAGATGTCCCATACTAGGACGAAACAGGTGTCTAGTGAATCAAGGTTTCAAATTTTTCTCGAAATGATATCAGTCCATGAATACCAACCTGAAATCAATATATGAATATCTACAAACCTTCAAACAGAAAATCATAACCAATAAAACATTACTGTACTAACGTCAGCATGATGCTATAAATACTGCTTATCTGTCAGAAGCAAAAGAGCAGACATCTATTTTCACCATATTAAAATGTATTCCAGACAATTTACTCCATTTCTCACTAACCTTTGTTTTGTCGTCATACATTGTCAATTAAAACTAGTAAGACAGTAAATTATCTAGTAAGCGCGTTATAAGTATACTCAACCTTAGATTCTGGTTGTTTAAAAACTCAATTTACAGCTAATAGTCATCTTTTCGGAAGATAAACACAGCAAAAAGTATGCTTTTCGTACGGTCCAGTACTTTTATGCAGTACTTTATATAAGATTTAATGAGATGCATTACCAAGTAGTTCACTTCGAGAAAAAGTAAAACTCAAAAAGAGATGTGAATAATTGCTCCAAAATACTTGATTGGTCACTGAAGGGTAACCAACTTCATGCTGTCCAGTCCTAAATGTTCACCGAATTTTATCGATCATTTTGCTGTATGGCCACCACTAAGCTAGGAAATTCATCATCACAATGAACTGGCACAGATGTTAGTTGAATGTAGGCAATCAGCAGGAAGCTCTACTTAACCTAGGTTTCGTGCTTTTTAGCACTCATCAGCAAGGCGTATCAATGCACACAATTCAGTCCTAGAGGAGGTCAAACGTAGCCCGAATAACTCAGTAAAAACGTCTCTGACTGCAGCGCTGAATGACGCAGATTTGAATCTCACAAGGGACATCAGTTCCGTCGAGATTGCAAATACGCCTTACGGATGAGTGCCGAAAAGCACGTAACCTAGTTCCAAGGTTTTTTGCCGATTGCCTTTATTCAACTAACACATGGAGATGTAGAAATGATAATTGCGATAGAAGTTACACTGAACAATCAAGTAAAGAAATTAAGAACATAGCATACTAACTTTAGCATAGGAGATTTATATGCTTGATTTATTATAGTGGAACTTTTACACGATAAGGCATGGAATTCAGATAATCTTCAAAAAACTTAAAGTGTAGTCACTAAAAGCCTCAAAAGTGGCTGACTGAGATCAAGTGAATGATTACCCCTCAACCTTAGATCCATAACTCAAAGATACTTCACTTATTCATGTCTGGGAATGTTGAATATTTGAGGTAATGAAGCCCATCATGAGATGCAGAAAAATTTATGCACGAATAAAAATAATACATAAACTCTAAATATCGACCCCATCAGTTTTGATATACTATACAGCAGGATTAAACCATTAGGACGATAAGAAGAAGAATTCATGGAGGAAACGTGATCACTAATGGTAAGTTAGAATAACAAAGAGATGTTCTATTGTCCAAGAACAACTGTCTTGTGTTTGCATTAAGAACAGTTATAGTTGAGTAGACTACATATAAATCTATATGAAATATTTTTTCATAAGCTGCCTAGAGTCTGATTCACTCTATAAACAAAAACACTAAAAGTGACAACATACAATTTTTCATATAGGAATTACATTATTTAGTGATTGACAATGTCTAACAATTCATTAAATTTATCGATTGACTCATAACTTTATTCTTCATAGTCCCATTTATTTTCTTCGTAGATGCTTGGATTACCAGGTCAACTTTAATATAATACTAAAAACAAACGAATGAACTAGGACAATAGTTGGGATAAGGAATGATGTCCACATGAGACGAATATGATGCAAATTTGTTGTACAATTTTCGCACAACCGAAAATTCAGAATAGTATAGTTTTTTGAGCAATTCTTGATATCCTATTATGTGGAGCTGTAGCCCAATGGTTTAGGGAGAGGACTTTCAACCAATGAGTTATGGGTTCGAGCCCTGCTCCACCTACTGGGGTTTGGGATGCCAAGTAGGTAGTATTATTCGTCCTCACATAATAGGTGTAGCTGAATGCTTACTGCACGAATGTGCACAAGGTTGCGGAGTGCATTTCGATTTGACAATTCTATATTCTATTCATATTGACAATTACAACCCGTAGTGATACAGATAGGCAATCAATTTCAACAAAAATCGTTGTTAAAATAACATTTCTAGAACTCATTTAGAACATGAAGTTAAAATATGTAGTTCGACTAAGTAAACATACTGGGGATTACTGCACTAAACAACGAACGAAACCTTTCATCAGGTTTGAATACACTGTCTAGTCGCTCGAATCCCTATAGATGATGAATAGTTCTAACTCACTAGTTACCGGTCAGCGGCTTGGTAACTAAGCTAATGGATCACTGAGTCGGACATGTGTTTTACGCACAAGGAGTACATGTAGCAGTTCGAACAAACTCATCTAAACTCCATCGCTACACTTTCACCAAGTTTGATTACAAATATAGGTTCGTTAAGCAGCTACTTGTTAGTTCATAGTTACTAAACTGCTTGTTAGCACAAAAGTAATACAAACCTTAATTTCCTCCCAAAATGAATAATACATCATATAGACTACTAGCAGTATCGAATTTAAAGAAATATTGATAAAGTGGTTGCTGATTTGTAGCGGTTAGTATTGTGCTAGTAAACTAGTTCGTACAGAATGTCTATTACAACACGTAAAGAAAAACTATGTTTTACTGCAGAACCACAGAATGAGAAATCCTTCTAGGAATTTATGAATTGGTTAAACAAATTAAATTCGATTAACTGACAGGTATTGGTGAATGACATTGAAAATATTTACGCAGTTCGAGATCCACGTACTTATCACCGTGATCATTGACACTTAATTTTATTCTAGACGTTTGCAGTACACACTACTGAGTAGTGCTAGCTTACCAAAAGATGGAGATTACCAAACCAGTAGTGTGTAACAATAACCATCTTTAAATCAAGCAAAGATGAATAAGGAAGACAAATAATTGCTTTTTGGTTTACTCACCTTAATAGATTTATCATCCGAACCATATATTATATGCCATGCATCACCTGTTAAACATCGGATCAGACTACCTGATTTATAATCACTTCTACATAGATATTCATCTAAATGGATAGTATGTGATGAAAATGTCCGTGTCATGCTACTGTTGTGACTGATGCTATCAGTAGTACTATTTTCAAAATTATGACTTCTTAATAATTCGGTGAATACTGACAAGTATTTAGCGAACACCATACCATCATGATAAGCTACAACAAGTCTGTTCTGTGAATAATCCAAGTGTAAACAGGAAACAGATGAAGAAAGTGATGCTTCAGTCAGATTATTGGAATAGATCGGTCGAATCAGTGTGTAATAACATACACCAGTGGATATATTCCATATCTATAAGAAAAGAAAATGAGTAAAAATAAGGAATAGAGAAAATATACATTCAAAAGGGAATTTTGTCAAAAAATTAGCCACAGAACACACAAAAAGGTAGAGTGCTAACCTAAATCATTGTAAACAGAAATTTTTAAAAAAATCTGTTATTGAGAAACATGGTAACAGAAAGCACCTGGTGAGTAGATACAATGCATGTTATAATAATCCAAGTGAAGTTGCGATTCAGTCGCAAAATGGGTTACTTAGTTCACTTGGCTTAGCCGGTTGAACTTCTGCTTTGACGTGAGGTCTCTCTTCAACTGCAGTTATCACTTTATTTAAAAACAATGTATTCAGACAACAAGTGCTAAGATGATTACGACTTTTAAGTATTTTTTGGTTACTTTTACTTAATTAGTTCAAAACTTCCTCAATGGAGGATTGAGATCGTAATCTTGTTTGGACTAGATAAGTTCATAGTATGACTGATCATTATATATGTCTTCCGATATCATGCTATGGTGAAAGCTACTTACAAAAATGTATATCAGTAGTACATCATAGAATACAGGGAAACGGAAAACGTGATAGCGATCGATCGGTGAAGAGTAAGGGGTGAAGAAGGCAGAATATTACAGACTGGGATATCAAAATAGAGAATATTTATAAAAGTGACATGTTTGCACAGTTGAATACTTTCATCAATACTCACTGCAGTTTTCCAATTTTTGCTGTTCTTAACTGAACTTCGCTTCAATATAACTAAAATATTGTACGAAAACTTAATGTCATAACTCTTGTTAGCACTAATACGCTCTTAAAAAACTTCTTAACAATATCGTCTAACCTTAATTTTTTTTTTTGAACGCCTTATCTAAAAATGGAATTGTGAATTTCACATATAAACAGTAATAGTAGCAAATAGAATGATAAATATGGACCGAAATTAGTTAAGTTCATAGTTTGTCGTACAAAACAACAATACCCCCCCTTATGAAAGTGTTATTTGTTGAAACAGGAATATGAAAAGTCATAATATCTTTTACATTTTAACCAAAGCCTATACTTAGTGATTATACATTTAGGTAACTTTAATAAACCTATAGAAAATGTTTAAAATATGCCTTAAATAATAGAAACAAAAAGTTATCAACTATCTCACACTCTATTTGTTCTTTTGAAATTAAATTTAGCTACAAAATACGGTGTTCAATCGATCTAGTGAAATGCAACATTCTTCTGCTTACATAATTGTTTACTTATGAAAATCTCTCCTAAGTACTTTACACTTAAACTACTTTATTTAACTACTCGCTGAAATACACAATGAGGCAATAATCCAATAAACTCATACATTGAAAAAAAGTGGATTACCTCGTAAATATATTTCTTAGAAACATGTAGACTTTATTACGAATATATATATATATATATATATATATATATATATATATATATATATATATATATATATACTTGAGATCATGAACAACCTGCGCAGTTAATCACTACCGAATACTTGAAACTTAGTTGCTGCTCTAGGCATAACTTCTCTAGGGCGAAAATGAATAAACTAAATAGGATATTAGTTGGTTAGAGATAACTGGCAGAAACCACTGCTCGACCTAGGTTTCTTGCTTTTTGGCGTATCTGCAACCTCAAGCGAATAGATGTCCCCTGTGAGATTTGGACACGCGTCACCCATTGTTGCAGTCAGTGACGTTACCACTGAGTTATTCGGGCCGCAAATGACCTCCTGTCGGACTACATTATATATATTGCTTGTTCACTGGAGAGCAACCAATCTCATGTTCTCTAGTTCTGAGTACTGACTGAATTCTATTGAACATTTCCAATGTGGCAACCACACTAGGAGACTCATCATCGCAGTGCACTTTGATGGATGTTAGTTATATTTTCATGATTGGTAATTTTTCTGTTCACAATAGAAATATTCGGTGTAATATAATTGTTAAAAAAAAAATAAAGATAGCAGTTGAAATGGGAGGATCTACACATAATGGAGACAAAGATTTAATCAGTAGTCTGTTTTTGTATATTACCGCTAATGTCAAGTTATTTAGTTTGAATTTAACTTCGAATCTGGCTTTTCTTGCATTACTTTGGATTCTTGTTGAAATAGCACTTCCTGTTAGCTCCTTTCTAGGGGGTGTCACATTCATTATAAAAGAATAATTGAACCATGCAACTGGTTACTACGTTATATATAACCCTTCAAATTAATTTCCCGTAAATCTTTGTCAAGAAACACACAAAAATAGTGACCAAGAAACAAAACAAAGATTTTCAATGTGGTAAATACTTCTTTACAAATTTCTAGTAAGTAATATGATGAACAGAAATGAACAATGGTAATGATACAATCATTCAATTAGTAGTGTTGGTAATAACAATACTAAAGAAACTGAAAATGAACCACAAAGGTTCTCGGTACATATAGAAAAAGTAATTACGGAACAAAAGGGTGTCATAAACTCAAATGAACATAAAGTGGATACGTCTTCGCACTTTGTTAATTTTACAGCATCTAAACTAATCATGACCTTATGGACTGGTACTATAAAATTGTTTGGACACTATGATTAATTATAGTCTGCTTTAACTTCAATCAATACTGCATATGGAGATAAACATTGGCTTAGCATGTGTAAGCTACTTTTTAAACACTAAAAACATGATTCCACATTCTCCTATACTTAATTATCTTCCTTGACTAAAGATGAACAGTTAAGCAGGTGATTTGAGTATATACATATAACCGATGCTTTGCAGACATCATGCATTAAAAGCATGCAATCTACACCCAGTGTTTATTCTTAAGGATTATATCTCAGGGCCATGTAGAAGAGTGCAGAGCGTTACCATAATGTATTCTATGCTATTAATAAGTTTGAGGGTATTTATACACTGATCGGCTTGGTTATTGATGACCATACACTTCATATCGGTCACTATCACTCCATAGCTGCTATAACTATGCAACTAGTTGAAATGGTTACTGTAACCAATTATTTAATTCATTATTGTTAAACTAATAGTAGATCGGGGTAATGCAACATCCACCATAAACATCTTTCATCGAATGAAATAGGTGGGAAACAAACTTAGCATATGCATACATTACTTTTCATCGTCATTAACATCCTAAACAAATTCGCAGTAAAGTAACTAATATGAAACATTGTTACAATGTAACAGGATGAAACTCACGCGAACTGTGTTATCCAAAGATCCGGAATAAAGGAGATTATCACTGTACACCAAGCAAGTTATACCAGCCGAATGACCACTATCAACAAAGATTTTTAGAAAAAAAGAAAGTAGCAAACATATTCAGATACGCTTCATCCATAATATTCTACTTAGATGAACCTATATAAATGCTCACAAAGTAAAAATGTAAATTACATTATCAAGTTCTGAAGTCAACAGATGAAGAACATTATAATGCTGAAGTATGGTATGTGCTACTCATAAAGACACATATAAGTAGTTTGCAGCATGATGTTTCTCAGAATAACAGTTAAAGTTACCATCCAATCAGTAGAAGTTATGAAGGCGAAAACGATTGGAAATCTTATATTTGACAGAAATTTGTTTAAAAAGCTTTGATTCTTGAATAAATTACAATCCTCATCACCAACCATATACAAGGTAAGTATCATCTGACATAATTAGGAAGAGCAGAACTAGAGCACTATGTATGATAAAGCATAATTCAATTTTAGTCCAATTATTAGATTGATAGCACAGTGAAAAGATATTATTGAATAGATAATTTTTCGAGGACAATTTATTGCTAAATGATTATATAAAAATAATCAGATAAGTTTTAGAAATTCATCGCTTTTACCCTTCGGTTTTATTAGTGGTAAAGGATTTATTTATAGCTATGCATGCTATTACATACAATTATGTAGTAGAATAGGATGGAGTGAAAATCTGTTCAAAGAACTTAGGTAGATGAAGATACAGATTGATAGCTTAAGCTCTTCTACTTATTTAATCAACAACTAAAACGTGTGATAAGAATGATTCGAAACTGATTTCTGATACATGGAAAATATCGCTACCAATAAAATTCAAGGATAAAAAAAGGCCAAAACTGTAAAACTAAGCCTGTAAGTTGTACGGTTCCTTTGATATGATTATAAACAATAAACTATTCTAAAACCGCCATCCATAGAATAGTAGCGTTTTATCGTATGATACTTATGATATACGAATTACCATAGGATATGATATGATATGAAATACAGTGATGTCACAGTTTTGATACTCGCAAATACTTTCTCTAGGCTTGGAACAATGAACTGAATGGGAATTGAGTTTCAGTGGAGTTCGTATCTATACTTTAGAGAACATTAAATGGCACCAAAATTAAATTTTAACTAAATTTTTCCTCATCAAATGAGCAAAACGCGAAATGTTTGAGCAAAAGAAACTATTATTTAACTTATTTATTGTGTAATCCATAGTAATATTTTATATGGCACAGCTGATTTGTGTAAGGGTGAATGTAAATCATTTTGAGAATAATAAAATACAACTTTTAAATGTACATTCAAAGCAATAGCAATATGAGATAAGTGCAATGCGTTGTAGAGCTATAAGTATTGTTTAAGGGTAAACAATACTACTTAAATGTTCAAGGCAAAGTAGTTATATTTATTTCGGTACCCACTATTTGACTTTTACTAATCAAGTATTCAAGCCAAAGGAATACATACTAATGTGGTTTTTAAGATTCAGGGAATTCTGAAAAATCTAATGTCCACATTTCCAAGAAAGTCAATCTTTTTTCCTGAGCTTTGGGCTATCTTCACTAATCAACAAATAATACGTGGATACTTCAAAAACAAACTGCCACATATTGACTATTTCAATGCGAATCTACAAACGTAATGGCTTCTGTGAAACTGGTTATATCAGTCACACAAAGTGTGCTATTTTACAGCATTATCCTGTTTAGTTATCAATAGCAGATTACAAGTCAATCAATAGTTTGACACTTTAATACTTAGTCAGTATCATTAGAGTCGTCTTTTAAGATTGTGTACCAAGTCAAACTAAATGAAAAAAGACAACACGCGATTTCATAACGTATATCTGTAGAAGGCGTGTACAATTCACCAACTAAAAGCCAACCTCTGAACACAGAATAAAAATGTAAAATCTCATATTATGCCTACGTTTAAACCGCCTTTCTTTTTTACTCTCTTAATTTCATCAGTGAAAACAACTTCACTGTTAAGGTTTTCATTATGGTTTTTATTTCTTTCTTCATCTTCTATTCATTCTTCAAGTAGACGCTTAACTATAATACCTCACAATTAGAAACAATTTACTCCTTGTTAAATTCTATTCCTTTCTACTTAACGTCATTACATTTCACACTATAGTTTATTACATTATCTTTTTCGTAACAGCACTCTTTTTTTTGTTCTGTGTTCTAGTATTGTGCTATTGATACAATCTCAGTCTAACATTTATTAATAAAGAGTTAATTAATTCCAGTGATTACTAAATTGATTGTAAAGCTTAGGTAAATGGTGAAAATGAAAAAAGTGCCTTCACTGAACAAATCCAAAGAAACGTCTGACATGAGGAAAAAAACATAAAAGAAAACAAATGAAATATTTTTGTGAATATTATTTGATTTCATCATATGGAACATATAACATTTTCATGAAATTTACAAATCAATATTTAACTCGATTGGTTAAGAAAGGCCTTTCCTTTAAGCCGTTTGAATATTCTACAATCACCCTGTACTGATAGAAATAAACTTCTCTTCGGTGTAAGAAGTCGTAGAACATACTATTTACACTGAAATCAAGTTAGTTTATACTATCTTGAGGCAAGATGAGATGAAAAGCAGGCTACTAGGAAATGTCTATGAGTATGAAATATGAATAAAACTATAAGTGACAGCAAGAAAACTAAGACCTCGTCAGAAGCTGAGTTTCACAGCTAGATTATTGATAATCAGTGACCCGCAGGCGAAACTGATTCGAACCCTGTTGGAACTCAGGTTTTCTTGTAGCTTCAGTCATTAATCTCTGATATAACGATAATTTTTTCAAACCAAACCCATTGAAGGTAGTCCAATCACAACAACATAAAGATAGAAATCAATTAATATAAGAAAAAAGTATAGTTTATCATTCATTACTAACCGAAATATCCTTTTCACCTGACCGCTAGTTATACTCCATAACCGTAATGTACAATCGTAAGAACCACTAATCACTTTTTCATGATCAGCCTTGGGAAAGAAAAGAAATTAAAGTAAGAGTATGAGTATTTATCGATATTTACTAAACAAAGTAACAAGTGCCAACAGAACAAACTGAATAGCAACGTCCACGAACCATCACATTCCAGTAGGTCAGTGTTTGCCAACAAACAAAGTTCTATTAAAAAGTAGAAGTAAAACATCTTTACAACTCTTAAATGTATATGGTAAAAAAGGCTAACTACTATGACTATTTAACGTTCACAAATACGGACGGTGAAGCCCAAATAGCTGATCGTTAAAACACTGAAACCTTTAATAAAATTGGACAACTTTTAGAATCCTGGTTTCATATGCATCAGAAACCAGCTGATGGTAAGAAGACCGAGAAGAGACAGTTATGTAATTGCTCAAACATTTCATATTGTTTGTCAGGTGAACTACTGAAGAAGTGTAGGTACCGATAGAAAAGCATACACAACATGATTTTATCAATAAAATTTTCATAGGGTGTGACGTTACGTTCCACCGACATGAAAAAAAAGGTTTAACAGCCTCATGCGAAAGAACTGAAGATGGTATGGGTTAAGTAAGAAAAACTCCTATCATTTCAGCACGAACCAAAATCCTTTACATCAATGAAAAGTTTGTGCATTGTAGAATGGATTAACGCATGATATTTGAATCGTTTATGGAACAGGTTCTGTATACGGCTTTAATCCACTGACCAGCATACTACTACTATCGATTAGAAACATGGGTCTAAACACGCTACACTAACTTTAGTCTACACGAATATACAAGCCCCAAAGAATAGAGCATAGTTCAAAGCCTAGTACATAAAACAGAAACGTCGTAACAAAAGTGTTAAGATGGCATTCCTGATCATACATCTACAGCTTTAACACAACTTATATTGGTAGCAGTCATGCTACTAGTACCGAAAACGATTTGTGACACCTCAACTCCCTATATTTTCAACTGTGCAACAATCCATCCTATCCTATGGCTGTGAAAAATAGCTAAACAAAGTAGAAGAGTCCAAATTCCAAATATTTGACCACCACTGTGTATGCAAAATTAACCGTAGATGATGGAACTACAACGTGGGTAACATGGAGGTCAGGTGCAGAGCATCAGTTAAGGGAGGTAAGTCGACAAGAAATGAAGGTATCGTTCATTTATTTTCGAAGTACATGAAGTTGGTTTATTGTTGGGAGCAAGGTACTATTCTCAAAGCTAGTCACAAAGAAATCGGAAAGTAGATCTTCAAGAGGCGAACTCATTGCTATATTATCTAATCGTCTGTAAACTTCGTTATTAAGCCTAAAGTGAACTTCAAACGTACATCCTAGAAGTTCATTCCAGTAGTGGTTTGGCAGGTCAACATCTGGATTCCTGGATTGGATGAAGAAACACAAGAAACAGACTGTTTTTGTTAACAACCCATTTGTAAATAGTGACACAATGTCCAGTGAAACCATTCATCTTCTAGACAGATTAACATCTTTAAACAACTCTAAATTTGAATGTATCAGAAACAACACTAATTTCTTAACAAGTTCAAGAGTTACCACGAGCCATTTCGCAGTGATTTGGTATAGAGTTTTTCATGTCCCGTATTTGACGGAGAGGGACGCCATCTTAGTCCACGTTTGGTAAACCAAACAAATGTGGAGTAGTGTCACAAGGGTAAAGTTTTTCGTAGAGGTCATTGCTAATGATCCAAGTATCTATCATTTTCTTCAGGAATTTAGAGAATTCCCTTTCTGTTTGTTCGGTCTTTCTGATTAATTGACCCTGACGAAATAAAGCTCGGAAGAAAGTCTAGGAAGACCAGAGTAAGAACTGACACCCATGCATGAAGTCATCAACTAATAGTCTGAGTCATGTAAAGAAATGTAGGTTTTTGAGTTGGGATTCACGAGACAGGTGGTATCGATATCTGAAAGCTCTGGATGAGTTTAACATCTTAAAGGCTTTGGAAATATAAACCTTCTGTTTTATAATAACATGTATCGCAGTTGTACTGATGAAAGTTTTTCTCCTCAAAAGATATAAATTCTCTTCTTTCCTGCTAATATCTTCGAAGTACGTACAACGAATCTTCAAGTTCGATCTTCTCTACCTCCCAAGAACTAGCTGGACTTGACAGCGATTCGAAATTACTGAAAGGCTAAAGATACGAACTTATCAAAAAAGTTATTTTTCAATGAGTAAGGTCATTTCAAACGCCGGTTTACGTGACTAAACGTAATTCAGACATTAGCCTACGGGCTTATTTGTCGATAGTTGTTTGACGGCTAAAGAGATTATTAAAATCGAAGCCAATGATCTCATTGCAAGTCGATAGTTTTCTATTTTTAAACAAAATCAAAGAAATCTCCTTGAATGTATCAAATATGACTGTTTCTCCTTTTCTGATCATTCATCTACTCTTCAACCGTCTATAATCACATAGTCATAGTTGACTACGGAACGTTTCGGGATCAAAATAAAAGTTAACAAAAATTTCCTACCTTAAAACGCAAAAACTGTATTGGATTTATTGCTTTCTCTTACTGTTTAACTCACATTGTAAATTTTATTCTACCTGATCGCATTTTTATAAAATACAATGTCAAATGTGCCAAAAAGATAATGACATTTGCTTTAATTTCTTATACACAATTGGACCGTATCCAAAGCATAATTTGATAATGATTAAATCGGATAGTGCTAGAACTCTTCCAGGATATTTGTAACATCTGTGGTCTGTATATTTATAACCTTTAAAATGATAATGACGTATAACCATAAACATGTGCCTGACAAACTGATAAAAACACTGTAATTATTGAGTTAAAAAAAGTGACTAGTTCATAAGAAGGTTAAGATAATTTTATCCCCTTACTTGTACACACCGAACAGTATCAGTATGACCTTGTAATGTACATGTACATGCGATACGTGACCAATTAGGTGCTGCTGAAAGATGCCATAGCTTTAAAGTTGTATCAGCGCTGCCAGATATAAGAAGAACTTCAGGTGGTTCCCAACAATTAGGATATGTAATGGTTGGATCTAATTTGCAAAGTGAACATGGTATTGAAGCAATTGACTCATGAATACAATTTACAGGAGGAGAGGAGCTATAGGTATTATTACCAACGGATTGATTATGAGGTAGAGGTAAAAGTTGTACACAACGGACAGCATCTGAATGTCCACGGAGTGTTTGAACAGACCATTTAGCATTTGTACGAATATTCCATACACGGATTGTAGCATCAGCTGATCCACTAACAATACGATATGCATCACAATCAACACAGTAGACCGCTGAAACCAAAAAAGAATGGTAAAACAATCAAAAGAATGATTTTAGAGATTTAATCTTCCTCTGGATGTAATAAAGGCCACTTCTTATAAATGTAATGACGATACCCTTGACATAAACACTGATAAAATACTCAAACAAATAAAATCAACGCAGAACCTCGCACAAAAGTACACCAGTTTAAGTTGCCATACTTTATAGCAGCATTCAAGAGCGACTGGGTAAAGGAAAAGCAATATCAAAGTAAACAAAAATGTCTCGAAGGCGAGGAAATTTGAAAAGTGATCACAATTTAGCTGTCACCAAAGATCTCCAAACATTGATTCCTACTATCTCGTGAACCCCAAAAAATCAGTCGACACGTCTCAAAATAACGTTAAGAAAATTGATGTAAATAAGTTTAAAAGATGAGCAATGTATTTGCAGATAAAATTAATGACAAGTTGACCTAGTTTACAGGCTTATCAATAATATGCTCTAGATTTTCAGCTGAGGTGAGGAGTGCATCACCATTGGGTCACCATATTATAAACCGATGGTTTGCAAATAAGTCACGTTTATCGAAGTCAATTTCACGAAACCATCATGCTACAAGCACTAAAACTTCGTCCTTTCAAAAAGTATTAAAATTTTGAATGCCAAGAAACCAGTAACCAGTGGATAATGATTCTCAGTTAAACGTTACAAATAATCTTATTGGTATTTGAAGCTCCTCTATAAGCAACACAGAACTGTGGTAACTCCTGGATCGATAACAAAGTGAATAAGAGGATAAAAAGTTAAATACGAAGTCTGTATGATGAACTTTCTGAAGTTATTGTTTCATACAATCGAGAAAAGAATGAAAAAGTTCATGTAGTCTGAGGACAAGGGTCAATTACTGAAGCTTAAGTATGCGTTAGAATGGAACTGTTACTTTCATTAGTCAATAGCGAAAAATTTCTAACGATAGTAAGGCATACGGGAATACATCGTTATTAACAAACAGTCTTCGCATTTCCAAAAGTGAAAACTAGAAAAAAAAATGGTATACTAAGACAAGACAATAATACTAGTCGAACTTTTGTTATCTCAGCCTAGTCCTGGCAAATTTACGATTGGACGGAAAGTGGAATGAAAATGATTACGTCCTGACAGTTAGGTTTCATAACTCAACTATTATGATGTTAAACAGTTGAACTAGTGGTTAGATAGTTTGAATCTAAAAAAGGTCAAAGTTCTCGCCGAATTCCCCATTATGTCCATAAGAGCATGATATTTTCCAAGACAAAAATATTCTAAAAAGCGTAGCTATTACTAAATGTTTTGACATAAAATTATAATAGATCCTATTCCTCAATAGACTGATAAGCATTCATAAACGTTATGCAATACAAAAAACTAGGAAAACAGGCAATATAGAATGATGCATACCTCCACTATGTCCATTGAATCTACGTATTCGATGTTTAGCCAAACGAAAATTTCGTCTTAAGCATACACGTTTCTTGAATACACCAAACCACTGATATTTAAAGAAAGATAGAGGAAAAGAAATCAAACAAATTATACAAAAGTGAGACATAAAATGAGAGAATATACATGGCTAGGCATTCAAGCAATAATTTATAATTATGTTAGTTGGATGGAGGCCACCGACAGAAAGCCTTGAACATAAGTCTCGTGCTTGTTGGCCGTTGTCAGCAAGGCGTATCTGCAACCTCGAGGGGACTGATGTCACTCTCACCTGAGATTAAAACCCAAGTCATCCAGTGCTGCAGTCGGAGACGATACCGCTGAGCTATTCGTGTCGCGACTGAACTCCGGTAGGACTGTGTTGGATAAATTAGACCGAAGTGCTGATTGAATTTCATCGATCGTGGATATGTATACACCGATTCCACCTAATTCAACCTTAGTAAACAGATAAGTGAACGCAGAAACTGTTATATAGTTGGCGGCAATCAAGCAGCAAGTCCTGGAATTAAGTTTCATGCTTGTTGCATTAGTCCGCGAGGTGTTTCTGAGATCTCAAAGGGACTGATGCGTCTTGTGAAATTTGAACCCACGTCAACTAGTATTGCAATCAGAGACGATATCACTGAGGTAAATGTAAAAAAAACTCGTACAAAAGTGGATAGGCTTAGATTGCCGCACTTCAAAAACATTATGATGACAATGATAAACAAAAATACATGAGATTAGAGCAATAAAATGTTCAGAATTGTGCTTATTTGCTGAAAACGTATCTGCAACATCATAAATATGTGCATTTTTTATCTCAACGAACTTGTATACAACTAAGTTTTCTCTTGGTAAATCATATTATTTTGGATGAATTGCAGATTGAATTGTATTTAGAAAAAGAAGGACGAAAATACAGTACTCAGGTTAATCAAGTAAACCAGTAAGAAGTCATGATTAAGTGACCTATGTTTTCATATGAACCGGTAATGCATCCATCCATCCAAATCAACATAGGACCCGGCATTACTTCGTAACGGTCTAAGCTACCACATCTCATGTCACCACATCAAGTTACAAGGCAATAAAATGGAAGATAAAAAAGAAAAACTAGTCAAAACAAATATAAACTACTAAAAGAGAGAAAGGAAGAAAGAGAAAATGATCAGATTCGGTATAGCGTCGTTAAAATGAAGATAATGTGTGTACACATCTGCGCGACTGACATCGGTTCTCAGTCATATCACTTAAAGTCCTCCAATCACGGGTTACTCTTGTTTTCCGGACTCCAACAGGCTAGTCTCCAGCGCCCCCCTACATAGCTCAAACCAACAGTCAAAGACTTCATACATTGAAGCCATGTTTTATTCTGGCCGCCTCGAGCCTTTTTTCAGCCTGAAACCACTTCGGCCAACATTGTGTGACGAGGCAGACGGCAACTAGGCATACATACACAACAGCATCAACTGTCTTAACTCTCCTCCACAAAACCCTACGTCTGACTTCTCCGTTACTCACGTGGTGACATCACGGAATACGACCTATACTACGAAGGCGAGGGTGGTCAAACAATCGAAGCCTTCTCATGTCTTCTACCTTTAATGCCCATGTTTAACAGCCATACAGTAGAATAGAGTGGACTGCTGTGCGGTACACGCGACTCCTAATAGACATTCGGATATCACGGCGGTGTCACAAGTGGCGTAAGTTGGTAAAAGTAAGGCAAGCCTTTTGTATTCGTGCAGAGATTTCATCGGTCACTGAGCCGCTAGGGCTGATCCGACTTCTTAAGTAAGTGAACTGGTCAACACGCTCAACCACTACACTCTCTAGTGTTAGCAAAGGCAGCGTTGAGGACCAATCCTGGAGTAAAAACTGGTAATACGCTTTAGCATAGTGAAAAATTTTATGAATTAACACCAGTAATTAGAAAGTGAACTCAGGAATTCATAAGACTCATTCATCAGGTAAATCACGAAATACAACCTCACTGCTGAACAGCGTAATTGTGTTTCATACAACACACTTTGATCAAAAATTCCAATATCAAGGTCAAAACGTTATAGAACCTGGAAAACAAGATCCACTCAGTTTTAACTAACCCTATCACAACATAAGGGGACTCTTAAGAGCCTGTTGAGAACCACAGACCGCAGTATGATTTCCCTCAGTATGTTTCCTCTCTTCACTGTGATATTAGTGAGACCAGGTGTATGGGCTTTGCTAACAAGCTAACGTATACTGCAGATAAATTGAAAAGATATTAAATCAGTTGTTTGAAACAAACTGATAGCTCGTGAATAATCTGAGAATCGACCAACTGTGCAACATGCTGAGATGAAAGTAGAGGAGGTGTTTATAGCTTAAAACTGATTGCTTAATCAGTGACCTTGGTCTTATGGATTTACCATCGATTATATACAAAGTGACTCATAATCATATTACTTTTGGTTGATATACTTAATGCGCCAGCAAGGGCTATAAACTCTAAATATTTGTTTTATGCCAATCAGCCATTATTTCTGACCTTACTATCCATTCGTCTGTTGGACTGTAAGATTGTCACAAATTGAGTTTAAAAAAAGGTGATAGTTAAATATATGAGTAGCCTAAGTCAACCCACATTTCAAAACAAATTAAACGATGGATTATATCAGTATTGATATAATATTTTACCTTTATTTACCGTCACAAAAGTCAATTATAAGATAAACAGGCAAACTACCACAAACAAGATGATAACTTCTGAAATACTTACATCAATATCTAAAGAGTTTTTGATAAAACTATCTGAATTTTTTATGTTTTCCTCTTGTACACGGTAGTTACACCCACTATATAGCATTAATTTGTTAAATAATTGCGGTTTCTTCTGGATAGGTGAAGACCATTGTGGTAGCATGCAAAAATGACGATATAATTCTGGATGTCTAGCGTATTTCAACCAACTTTTATTGACTTCTGAACAAACCACTAGAGATTCTTAAAACAATAAAATTCATAATAAAACAATGGAAGTAATAAGTCAAACATATTTCCGTGTAATTAAGACTACCTGAGTGATTTACAGGGTGTCGGATCTAATACACAGAAAAATCGGTTAACTTTTTAGCAGGAAAACAAGAAAAAACAAATGAAAGCGACATCAAAAAAGAATAAAGTGACTTATACATCAAACGTTTTACAGTACGTTTTGTGTGGATCAAGGACACCGATCTCGAGGTATACAACCCATGATCATCAACAATAAATCCCCACCAAGACTCTAAGTTAGCATGCCTACATCTACTTACATGTCTTAAAATTGCTGGTCACTGACCTTATACACTGATACCAGGAGTCTTATCTGAACCATTAGGTAACTATGGGCATCAACAATTGTGAAAAGATTTAAGAAAATAAAATAGGCGATATATATATATACTTTGACGTTAATGGGATTTAAATTCTAAGGTAGTATTCATCACGGACTGACATCAGTTGGAGAACCATTGAAAACCTGGGAGTAGTGGGTAGCTGTTTCGTCCTAGTACGGGACTACTTAGCGGTATCCTTGCATGATAGTAGCGCTATATCGCAAATTAACTGAAGTAGGAAACTATGGATCACTGAACTTCTGCCTAGTGGCTGAATGGTTAGCGTGTTCGCCATGAAATGTGAAGTTCTCGAGTTCAATCTTTAGCCGATTCATGGGCGCGTACTGCTGAGAAATCTCATACCAGGGCGAAACAGCTCCCTAAAGCTCCTATGTTTTCAATTCTTCTCCAAATCATGTCAGTCCGTGATGAATACTACCTTAATATATAGGAAGGTTATCTACCACAGATGAAATAGCATTGGATTTACCACTTTCATTTAATTATCACGATTAAATATCTGTGAGAATCCTACGTATGATGATAATAAGAGCGGTAAATGGCTTACAATAAAAGATAGTCTAAAATGAAATAAATTATTCTAGCACAAATACTATCCCGTGCAATACAAGTGTGACCAGTTGTATTAAAAAGTAAACGAAGAATTAAAAATCCTCTTTTTACTTTTTAACTTGTGTGTACACAATAACAACCAGTTTGAATCTTATCACAACTGCAACTGAAAACACTTCATCAATCGGTCTCCAGTTCGAACGTCGCTCCACGTACCAAGATTTAAGCAGCTCCCACAGGAACTTGCGTATAGTTTAAAGCTACAAACACTTCATAATAATTTAGTTGCTTGTGGCTAGAAGAGGAATCCAGGACGTGCATTTTGTCCTATTTGGGACTCGTCAGCTGGATGTGCCTGCGCCCCAGTGAGTGATATTGTTCCCACCGAGACTCCAACCTCGCACTCATCGCTCCAAACGCCAAGGCGTTATCCACTATACCACGGAGGAACGATAGCCACTTCTTGCACAACAGGTAGCAGTCATTACTGTTTATTGATATGGTCGTAATTCTCCGTTGTTTTATTGGATCGAGTTGTTCGACCTGCATTAGCATATGAGCTCCTGCACGGATGCCTCGATATTGCCTAAATGTCAATTATGGTAATTTAGTCGGTTGTCCCGAATGGGATGAACGCACGTCATGGATTCCTCTGCTAGCCACAACCAACTAAATTATCATAATTGACATTCATGCAATATCGAGGCATCCAATAAAACTACGGAGAATTACAAGTACATCGATCAATAGCAACAACTTTATGATAATTCTGAAAATTTGGATGACAAGTTATAGAAGATGCTCATCGTGGGAGTAAAGTCCAAAGACCCCTTCTAGAAGTAACCGATTACTTAGTAACCAACCAAAACCCTCGTTCCTTTTAAGTGAAATACATTTTCAGTCCTCAAAGGTGAGAAAATTAAGAAGAAATTGCCAAAATTCACATAAGTATTCATTGTTTCTAAAACCAACCATATACCAAATTACGGTAGTTATCAAAATGACACTTAAAAATAAGGTGAACTAACTGAAAATATAGACAAACTAACAATAACAAGATTCATTGAACTCGAAAAGATCTTTTTCTGTGATGCTGAGGAAAGATCAGTGAGCAAGTGAATTTCGAACTAGATGAACTAGAACTTCAGAGAATCATTCATGAAAATCTAGATGGAAATTTGACGATTCAGAACACTGATTTGTTGCTTGCATACACTGATAAAATGAAGTAGAGAAAGCTAACGAAAGTAACAAGAAACTGCTATGGTGATTTGGTGGCCTAGTGGATAAAGCTCTGGCGTTTGAAGCGATGGGTGTGAGGTACGAGTCTTAGTGGGAACAACATGACTCACTGGAATACATCTGGTGAGTTGCAGATAGGACGAAACGCGCATCCTGGATTCCACTGCTAGCCCTCATCCATCACTAATATCAAAAGTCATAAAGGCCTAAAAGTGCCGGATTCTGTGAAGCTGACAGTAATTGTTCAAATAACACCATAAGTGGTTATTTCATATCACAAATGAAATACTCTTAAATTTTATGGTTTTCACCACTGTTGGCATCCTGTTTAATGCCCTACAGGATTAATAAATAATCAGTCGGAACAAATCCACTTAATTTACAACCTGTTTTTAAAAAGTTGGATTACTATTATTTAATTTTTGTCTGTCATCGCACTCTGAACTTTCACACATTATACGAATAGAGAAAAATACTTCGTAGAAAAAATTGGAAAGAAAAAAACATAGATCCTGAGAATGAAAAACTCGCAAGATTTTCAAACACAACAGTATTTACATGAATAGGCCATCAGTAGGTAACCGCCGTAGCTGCCTACTACTAATCGAGATCTCTGTCAATCAGGTCTGTAATGAAACCACTAAGCTAAGTGAAATGATATTGTGGTGCACAATATTTTGGTGTTATATGTTGGGAACTAACAATAAGGATGATCTCAACCTACGTTTTATGCTTGTTGGCACTAGTCAGAAAGGCATATCTGCATCCCTGGGGAAAATAGTATGACCTTGGTGACTCGAATAGGTGCCACTCAGTGCCGAAGCCAGAAACTGAATCACTAAACCATTTAAGCAAAGACTGACCCCCTTTGGTGAGCATATTTGAAGAAAAAGTAGTTTGAACAAAATAGCCACCAGGTGAAAAATGAACGTCTACAGCAGAGTGGTGCAAATAGAAACAGAAGTTCAATTTCGTCGGCGGCAATCGACGAAAAATGCTAATTTCATTGAAGATAATCATTTTTTTCTGAAATTCAACCCCGCATTCTTTAGTATCTCTTTCATAGAACCTAGTATAGAGCGCTTGAAACCGCAAGTAATATATGTCTATGCACAAACAGACTATGTACAACGACCAGTTACCAGGCAGGAAAATACTACGATTTTGAACATTGGTTGGATTGATTCGATTCCTACATATAACCGTAAACAATTAAAAAACCTAAGCATGAAGATGGCATTGGAGTGCTACTTAACGATAAAAACTCACCATAATGCTGTATTTCTCAAATTCAGTTAACGGAAATTAAACTATAATGCGACTGAAATTAGAATTAGCCAACACTAGACGAAGAATCAGCAGACATTGGTACGTCTAAAACGCCTGACTGGAAATGCACAATATCTTAAAATTTGGTACCACTCGTAGTTCGACAAAACGCCCAAAAAGTAGTCACTTTGCTGATAGCTGGCAAATGCCTTTCATTCAAAAAAGCAGCATAAAAATTAGGCCGTTTAAATTATCAGTAGTATACAGCTTAGGATTTAGTTAGAGGGAATGTGACTCATCAGCCAGCCAGCCAACAACATTTCGTTATAGAAAAAACTTGGTAACCGTCTTCGACAGGATAAACTGTACACAAAACACAACGTTAACAATCGTAGAATCAGTAGGGTTGAAATGTCTCCTGTTAATACATGCAGAAAAAGCCTTTGATAACTTACTCCATGAAAGAAAGGAGAAAATTCGTAAAGTTAATTCAGATGGTAACCAGGTAACAAAATCACAACAATCAGATAAACGATGACACGATGAATGAAGATGTGTAGCCAAGCGTAAACTCTCGAAATGTCCAATCGTAGTTAAGCTCTACAAATAGACAAAATAAAACAGAAAGCTAAAAAAAACTGGAACACAAAGTTCAACTCTTCGTCTTTTCACATCTTGTCATCTGCGTGTTCTACGTCTTACGAAAAATCTCCTGTGATTAGGTCAGTCCCTGTGTAGTCAGATGGCGAGAGGGAGACCTCAATTAGAACATCCCTCATAAGAATGAATAAGAATGGAGAGAGTAGGCATCCTTGACGGATACCACTCGATGTACACAGCTCACCTGATATCTCACCATAGACTCTAACATTCCCAGAGGTGTTCGAGTAAAGAGCCTTTAACAGAATGATGCACTTATTCGGTAACCTTTTCAGTGACAGACATTACCATAAAACTCGTCGACCAACGGAGTCGAATGCCACCTTAAGGTCGAGAAATGCAGCTAGTGTCGGGCGTCGGTGAGCGTGCTTGTGTTCCAGAATCTGACTGTGTGAATATTTGGTCGATACGCTCACGACCAGGTCTGCAGCCAGTCTGCTGTTCCCAAGCTCCACTCAGGCGTCTGATGATTATAGAACCTAGGATCTGCGACACTGATCGTCAGGCTGATTTCTCTGTGGTTATCACAAGACTTCTCGCCTTTCTTAAAAACTGGGATAATCACTGATTGAGACCAGTTAGAGGGGATCATATTTGACTCCCATACGTTAATTAACACCTGAGTTGACTTGACTAAAAACAATCAACCAATGTCTATATATACCTCAGGAACTAGTTCGTCTGGTCCTGCTGCCCTTCCTCGCTCCGAGTGACTTACCACTTTCTCCATATCTGCTAGTATTGGGGGCTTATCTCAATGTTCTGTTCAGGATCTAACCGGATAACGGGCAACGCAATAGTAGCTGGAGGTCGGTTGAACTATTCCTCGAAGTGTTCTCCCCATCGTTCCAGTCATCTCCTGTGCGAGTGAGTCGTAGACCCATCCGTTGACCTAACCGTTGACCTTTTCGCCCCAGTTTCTTTATTAAGTCTAAATAATTGTCTACCGTTACCTATCGCCGCTACCTTTCTATCTTTTTAACCTTTGCTGGCACCGCTGTTCGTTGTCATTACGTAGACTTTTCGCCAGTCTACATGTGAGTTGCGATGGCTCAAAGCCTGCAGGGATGCGTTCGCATGCATTCATTAATTCAGGAGAAGCTACTATGGTCCACTGGCCCCTTCTAATCACTTTTTGAGGGTCGGTTACAGTCTTCAGCGCTGTTTTTAAAGCAGACTGGAGATGACACCAAGTTTCTTCTGACTGGGTGATAGTGTTCTTTTTCGATAACTGCCTAGTCCGTTTCTCACTGAAAGCGGCTCTAGTGTTCGCAATGCTGAGCTGCACTAGTAATGGTCTTGTTGCTAAAGTTTTCTTCGTCCATTGAGATGCAGATATATACCCGCTCAAACCAATGCATGGCTGCTATCTAAACATGTGCTTCAGAAGGAGCGGCAGTCTTCCAGTGACCCTCTGCAGCACTGACTGATAGCAATGTGGTCTATCTATATCGATCGCTGAGTTGAGCTCGGTGGACGCCACGTCAGACGATGTCTTTCTTTATCTCTGAAGTTTGTGCTAGCTAGAAATAAACGGTTATCTGAGCACAGTTGTAGCAGGCGATCACCATTATGTGTTCGTTCAACCGGGATTCCTAAAGTCCCACCTAAGTCCCTTTCTGCCTCAGTCAACCTACCCACTTGTGCATTGAAATCACCTGCAAGAATAACCATGTCTGAACGTTTGGCTTTCAGGAGGTTAGACAATTTTCGGTAGAACTCGTCCTTCACTTCATCCGAACTGCAGTCAGTGGGTGCGTAAGCGAAGATTACAAAGAAACAGCAACGAGTTTCATTGTTCGTTTTAGTTCTCACTGTGCCGTTCAGCCGGACAGCTCATAGATGACTGTCAACTGGGATCCAATACGTTACATAAACCTAGACATTTACTACACAAATACACACGAAGACTAAACAGAGTGTGAAATCACAGATAATCAAATTTTACAAAAGTACACGCATATAGTAAAAAAAAGTCTACAGTAGTTAACTGGAAAAAGATTGACCCTGTGGTAACCACAACAAATTGAAAACGTCTCTAACCACTGATTACCATCGTATCACGGATCCCAACTGGGGAGTCTAGACTTCCCTACATGGCTTACACTAAAAGTCAAAGACTTCATCAACTGGTACTCAATCTTAAGTTAGGTTACCCTAAGACTCCTTCCAACCCAATCCTACTCGAGATAAGTGGTGGGTCAGTATGCGCAACTAATCTCTATGCTACCTCAATCACTAAAGCTTCACAATCTCATCGACTGCCTTCCCTTCCTTGCCTGTTACCCTTCACTGAACTTCTACATCGCTAACACAGTGATTCCGCCGTACCCCAGCAGTCCTACGAAGACCCCTATGGTCAAAAGTCCATAGTTTCTTCATATATTCTACTTTAAACAGCCATGTCTCACAGCAGTGTAACAAGAGAGAATGGATTGCAGCGCAGTATATTCATCCTTTAATAGGTAACCAGATATATTACCAGTCAGAACTACAGATGAAGCAAGTTGGCAAGTGCAAAAGGGGCCTTCTTATCCAAGCTGAGATTCTGTCAGCAACCGAACCGTTGGAGCTGATGCAAATCCCCAGGTAAGTGATCTACCTATTCAACCACTTCACTGCCTATCCTTAAACTAGTAGTTGCAGACCAGTCCTGAAGCAGCATCTTACAATAGCGAGTGCGAAATGCATGCCAAACATACACGAACTTCTGCTCAACGCGTTCAAAAGACCCTGCCTTTTGGTAAGCATCTCCACTTAGCAGAACAATGTCGTCTGCATATCCCAAGTCAAGCATATGCCCTTCAGGGAGTATATCAATCCCTGTGAAATTTTACGTACCTGAAGTAGTGTTTATTAGTACATCTAGAACGAAATCAGAAAGGAACGGTGATAGTGGGCATCCCTGACGGACAACGATAGTTGTCCTCCACTCAGATGAAAACTCTCTATAAGTCCTTACACCGCTGTATGCGTTCGAGTGAACAGCTTTGATTAGTGTTACACACTAACTCAATATTCCTTTCTCTATCATGAACTGCCACAATAGCTCGCGGTTGACAAGGTCAAATGCTCACGCATAAGAACACATATTGCGTACGGTGTACAACGCAAAACTTCTCATAGCACTCGTATTTGAGTGACTTACTCCCGGAAAATTTGATGAGTACCTCATTTATAGCAACAAACATTTGTCATGTTTTAAGATCAAATATATGAAGGTGAATACTTACAGCTCACTGTAAGCTTTCTGTCTCACACGCATAAACCCATTTCTATATCGAAATAAATAAAAGTGTATCTTAGATGAAAGTTGAAACCAGCTGATTTCGCATTCATACTTTTGCAGTTGACGAATGGTATCCAATCAGATAAAAAAATTTCCTTTAATCAAAAAGCACACATGTCACTTAAAAAATGAGCTCATTATATTCATAAATGTACAGAAAGCAAACTCACCAAAAGATGTTCTAGTAAATTTGTTTTTTGTTGGCCTGTTAAGTTATTTGACAGTTTTTTAATAAGCTAAAAATTCAAAAAACAAATTTCATCAACAGATAACGCAATAAATAATGCGGATAGATTCAAGACAAAGAGAGTTAATAAATCATTTGAAGTATCAACCATATTCCAAGAAAAAGTGATCATGACGTACACTGCAAAATATTTATTCGTTCTACATAAAACCAATAGGAAAACAAAGCTCATATTACACGAGCAGTGATGTTTATTTTCATCGAAATGGGAAAAATGAGAAAATATTTTTTCGTTTCAATACCACACTGCTTTATGGAACAGCGAAAAAAAAATACTAACAAGAGAAATATTATTCCTGGAAGCCTTCATGACGAACCAAGATTACCTAGCGAACTTTTGATGAAGAGCGAGCACAGGACGATTGCTTGGTCTTAGTTTGAACTCCTCAGAAGTGCAAACCCACGATTCTATAACGGCTCGAATCAAAGACTACGATATCTCCCAGGGAACCCATTTTAGTACAATTACTGAATCTGAATCCAATCGCTGGTGTTTGCTAGCTTTTGTCGATCTCCCGAATGAGGTGAACATCACCGAATATTATCTGTCAGCGCTTCTCATCATACCCTACCTTTTTGATCCCACAATTTACGATTTCTCACTAAAAAGTACCATCTCGAAATCAATTATTTATGAGCAAAAAATTACTAATAAGTTGGGAGTTTGTTGAGGAATAAGCTGGATTCAAAATGTGACCTGTGGGGTCGACCAAGTTGAATATGAGAGTAAGTACTGGTGAATGACATGGGATGATAGTCACCCTATACAGAGAATTGACAGAATTAATAAACATGGGTGAGTGAGCTTCAACCCTATGACACCTGATTACATCGGGTTCCATTCTGCATGAGGTCATGAATTCACACTACTGGTAAGTTCAAAATAGAACTCAATAGTCTTCCTAAGATAACTGGTTTTTAAGTTATTCTCTAATTCGTGTCGACTCATGAACAAAACCATTTTGGAATGAACAAAACATCAAAATGACAAAAGATGAATAATGAACAGCTTTAAACTGAGATGCTACAAATTTTATCATGAAGTGAATCAAATATGTTAAATAAGAAACAGCGATATTACTTATTGAGCCTATGGTTGGCAGGTTGAGAAGAGACCGAAATTATAACTCCGTGGTTTAAAATTGAATACCTAAACTACTACAACATGACTAGCCCGAATATCAACTAATTCGCGTTGTAAGTAGGAGAAGAATTACAAACTAAATTACATTCATAACAACAACACCGATAAGATGAAACAACTAGGGAAGAAACATATTACTACACACCTAAACAGTTCTTCCTTAAAATGTGAAAATAACAGTTTTTTTAATTTCCGGAATTCAGTGTTAGGTGACATTCAACCATCAGAAATGTTTTTTAACACCTCCTCCACCCGATAACTGCACTTTTAGGGGCAATCCAGTAGAAATGTAAGTAGGAGATTGTGTTACGCTTGTGTCCCCAGAACATTCACGAAATATCTACTGAATTTGTCGTAGTTGAGGAAAAATCAAAATCTATGGCAGATTCTATTACAACCTCTGTGAATAAATCAAAAAGTGGTAACTGTGTGGCAGGAAAGTTGGGAAAGTAGATATCTGGTCATACAGAGTATAATAGGGTTAATTTATCCTAAGATCCAAGTAAATGGGACAGCATGTACACTAGACACTGAAACTTTACAGAGATAGTTGGTGCCGTGGTATGTATTGGTTTTTCCTTTACAACTAGTAAATTATTTTAATGTCCTATAAAAGTATTGTTCTTTCACCTGCTTAGAAAACTGAAAACAGGAACCGTAGATATAAACTCAAAAATGCGTGAATGAGAGGCGAGTCTCTCTGAACTATGTACAGAATGGCCTTAGCTCTTTTCAATGACAAGATCGACTTCAGAGACAGAAATGGAATACCTTGATCTAAGTAGTTACATAGAATTATCGGTCCTTACCCATTAAATGAAGCATTTAGTCTAGTGGATGGAACTAAGCTCAACTATGGGATTCTATTCGTTGTCTGTAATCTATATAAAACAAAAATCACATTATCTTCTGAAGCCATTGTGCACTATTCAAAAAGATGTGCAGATTTATGTAGCGGGATCAAGCATATAAAAATAAATAAAGGTGCTAGCTGGCTACTTAAAGAGGAAATCAAGACAATTACTTACTAACTACATAGAATCAAGTTCAATCGGCACAAGTAACACTGTTACATCCGTCAATCTTTCAAACCGCAACTCGACTAGCACATAAAATCCGCTACTTTAATTTTACACTTATGTTTAGTTACCCACACACATTCACTGATTTCAACTCCTCTTGAAACCACTATTTAGTGCCTACTACGCAACGAAAGGTTTACAACTAAGTTACTACATTCAAATTAGGAATGATTTGCAAATAATTAATACATATCTCAGCAGCCTCACGAATTCCTGCACGTTTTGAGTACAATGAGAAGTAAAAGTACCTTCAATGTCTATATATAATGACTGTAAACATTGGAAGACACCAAAGGCTACAGAGGTGGAAAAGGCAGCCGCAATAAATAACAGTTGTCAGTTATTTATGCTGACCAAAAAAACAGGTGAAAAAGTGAATGGTTAGTGAGATTAAACCGGAGAGTGATGAGTCTGCAATTCATCTGCAGGATTAACAACTGGAATGAAGAACATAACACTTAGACGGACAACTTAACTGTCTCTTAATTACTTTTTGGTGACCCACTATCGAGTTGTAGAATGACTGAAACATTGACGAAGGGTTCCAAAACCTTACTGAAATCGAGAAGCTTGTAAATGACTTGAAACAAAGAACGGGAGACAGCCATGATCCACTAACAACAAGGGTAATTAACGATAGGTTTATTGTCTAAGCTGACTAGGATATTAGTTAGGGGATGGGAATCTGGTACGATCCCCTCTAAACGGTCTTAATTACTAACTATCCCAGTCTTCGAGAACGAAAAGAAATCAGTTAGAATCTCACAAACGCTAGAATACTCCACCGTTATGCAAGTTAACGCAAATGCACCCACCAAACACTTCAACGCATGAAGTTACCCTTTAATGAGAGCTTCTGTTAACCCACTTAATGAGTGCGTTTGAAGTGACTTGAGTGACGGTGTAATACTTCAGGGTTCACAAGATCTTAAAAAATCTCCTTGTGATAACCAAAGAAAAATCAGCCTTACCAACATAGTCTCTATGGCTTCAGGTTGTACAAACATCCAATCTGGAGCTCAAGAGCCGCAAACCTGAACGAACAAGGTAGGAATCAAATCTAGCTCTAGGCACATCGACCACATTTTAGTTCCTGATCAAAACGCGGAATACAAGAATAATTAAAAGCACCTGAGATTGGTTCTGTTCCTTGATCTAAATACACTATTTGATCGCCTCACTAGAGCGATATAATGGCAGTGGTCCTCAATGAATTAAAGGGTTATCTGATGTGACTTCAGTAAAGGTTAAGAGTCTTATCATCAGTGACAACACTTCATATTTATACACTTCGTCAGGTGAAAGCTTAAAAATATTCGTTTTCGATAAAACTAATCGTCTTCTCAATTTTATCATGAGAATTTGCTAGGATTTATTTTTTTCATTTACTTCGCTTTCCTGCCACGTTCTTCCTTTTGGTATCGCATTACATCTACTGATTGTGTGCTTCCGAAATGTAATAACTTGAACCTCTGTTGTTGTCTGCCTACAATGTGCATTCTAAGCGGTCATAAGTTTACCAATCCTACCACCAAAAATAAAATAAACAGTAAATAATTACACCCATCTGAATTCCAGTTAAACCTACTGTTTCACTTTATTACTGACTGCTTTACCAACGATTCATTGTCATGAGTCAACAATCTTAAATGGTAACGCATAACATGATTACATCGATAGACAACATGTAGGAAAAGTTATCATTTGACTACGTTTCAGTTACTTAGATGTAAATTACAAACAACATTCGTGTCCGTTCAATAGGCAACAAGCCACAATCAATGTGAGAGGACCGTGATAATAAACGGCTGCTTAGACCCACGTAGATGGGGTAGAGTTTGAAACCAAAACCTACTGCTTGAAAATCGACTAACTACACCGATAAAGTGAAGAGTAATTTATGTACAGCTAAGTAATTTCTTTTTAAATTCAACCCTATAAGATGATACAAAACTTTATATGGAATTCATATACCTTTGAATAAAAAAGGGTCAACGAGACACTGATAAAAAAAACACTACTGTGTTCAGCAAATTCAAGTGACCTACATTTTTATTACAGGTAATGGATTCTGAATTAATGAATTTTTGATTCAAATCACATCCTGACTGTTTCGGTTGCATCACCAATTAAAATGAGATATATTCAGCTTACAAACTAATTCATGAATCTGCAATGGTTTATTGAACTAACGAAACTACAAATGAAATCTTCACATCAGTCATCAAGATAAAATGGGAGATATCGAGCAACATCCCTGAAGAAAACTGTGTGGAAGAACACTGGAACTCCTTGAAAGAGACGTGCAAGGAAACCTGCATAACCGTATTAGGAAGGAAGAAGAAAGAAGATAAGGAATGGATCTCGACGGACACATCGAAGCTGATTGGGGCGAGGAGGAAGATGAAGCAGAAGACAAACCAGTGCAAGGATGAACGACGAGAAGAGGAACTGAACACAACTTATAAAACACTACGCTGGACAAAGAAGTGAAGAAGAGTGCGTGCAAACACAAAAGATACTTCTATGACATACTGGCAAGTGAAGCAGAACAGTCTGCAGGTAGGAGAGACAAAAAACCTAACAACACTGTATCAAATAACAAGGTTACTATCTGTGAGGGAAGAGATCAACACAGATGAAACCAATAAAAGGTAGTGAAGGAAACCTAGTTAGCAAAGAAGAGAAACAAAGGAAATGATGGGCTGACCATTTCAAAAAACTCTTGAATCGACCACCACCACCACCTGCAACTCGTCCAGGAATACCACCAGCAGCCCAGACACAGAATCACCAGTCAACACAACCTTTCCGACAAAAGCACAAGTGAAGTCCTGAACACCATAAAGTTGCTGAAATGCGGGAAAGCAGCAGCACCAGATGGAATCCAGCCAGAAGCCCTGAGAGCAGACGCAGAGACAACAGTGCACATCCCCACACCACTATTGCAGAAGGTTTGGAAGGACGGAAGGAAAGGTACCTGCCCAGTGATTGGAAGAAGGGCTACCTAGTCAAACTACCAAACAAGGGAGACCTAAGTCTTTGCAACAACTGGTGAGGAATCACCCTCCTGTCCACCCCAAGCAAAATATTAAGCCACATCATTCTGGAGAGACTAAAACATGCGCTGGATTCAAAACCACGACCGGAACAGGTTAGCTGGATTCAGGAAAAACAATTCATGTACGGATCAAATTGCAAGGCTTCGCATCATCATAGAACAGAGTATAGAATGACAGTCAACCCTCTACCTCAACTTCATCGACTTTGAAGAGGCCTTTGACAGCGTCGACCGATAAGTAATTTGGAAACTGCTATTTCAACACTACGGAATACCACAAACCTTTATCAACCTCATTCAACAACTTTATATGAAGACGCCACATCCCAAGTAATTCACAATGGAAAGCTCAGTGATTCCTTGGAGTGAAGACAGGAATAAGACAACGTTGCCGCTTACTATCACCCATGATATTCCTGATTGTGGTCGACTGGACTGGATCATGAAACAAACTGTGAGGAGCAAGAAGAGGGGGATACGCTGGACCACGGAAAAGAACCTAGAAGATTTGGATTTCGCCGATGACTTGTGCCTGAGGTCGCACAAACTTGAAGATCTATAGGCAAAAACTAACAAGTTGACAGAAGAGGCGTGGCAGCGAAGATGGGACTTCAAGAGAATATAGAGAAGACAGAGGTGATGAAGATACCCAACCAGCAACAATAGCAACAACACGCTCCAATCACCATCAACGGGAGAACTTAAAGGAAGTAGCCTCTCACCTATCTAGGCAGCACTGTTTCCACTACAGGCGGCGGTGGCAAAGACGAGGATGTCAAAGTCAGGATCGGAAAAGCAAGATAGGCTTTCATTAATCTGAAATTAGTGTGGAGATCTACTGTACTCAGCACAAAGCGTGAACAAGATCCGGATTTTCAACACTAATGTCGTCACTCCTGCTATGTAATGGTTCAGAAACTTGGCGCGTTACGAAAGGCATTTCCAACAAATTACAGACATTCATGAACAACTGCTTACGCTGGTTCGTTACTGAAGATCAAATGATCAGAACGAATAAGCAACAAGGAACTCTGGCAACGAACCAACCAAGAACCTATCGCTCAACAAATATGCACTGGAAGGAAGTGGAGATGGATTGGGCATACACTGAGAAGACCATTAGGGGGCATCACGCGCCAGGGTCTCGAGTGGAACCCATATGGGGAACGACGAGTTGGGCGTCCGAGGGTGACATGGAGGACATCGTGTGAGGAAGAAATAAGAGCTTCTGGGCTGTCGTGGAGCCAGGTTCAAAAGTTTTCAGAGAGAGTTCACTGGAGACGTGCTACTGAAGCCCTATGTTCCACTAGGAACCCAAGGGACAAATAATAAAAATAATAATAATAAACATGCATCCTTCTAAAAGATACAAGGCACATCTGTAAATCATGATATTTAAGAGTCGCATTCACCTACATTATCAACTTTAAAAGCTTCATATACAACTCTAGACTTTGTGCACATTTTAAAAATCATGCTAAAATCTTTTTATAAAACCGGAACAAAGGTTTCAAAATTACTAAAAACACTCCTAATTGTGTTTTGTGTTCTAACCGATATAAGTTTATGCATGAAAGTACTACAATGGACATCTTTACCGAGGCTAAGGACTATGGTATATTCCTTTTCACTAGGAAACTAAGACTTATCAAAATGTTGTGTCAAGTTATCCCTATCTGTATGTTCACTGCAATTATCAAACTATTTTCCCTGAGATACCTTAACTGAATTATCAAATGTGAATACAGAATAACCTCATAAAACTATGTATAGTTACGGAGTAGTTTCTAGGCAGTTGGGTTAGTTAAATGAAAACTCAGAGTTTCAGATTAAATTATATCAATCAGTTGTTTAGATGGATGATTAGAAACAGGTAAAATAAACCCTAGGACTCTAGAAAATGTGTGGTAAAAGGAGAGTTGCATAAACCATTTTTTAATTAGACATAATCTATCTTGAAACCTTATCAATTGATCTCAGCTTTCATATCTCTTACAAGACGGCTGGGAACCCTATGAACTTTATAAAATAAAGTCTGAAAGTTGTAAACTTGGAGAGAAAAAACAGCATGCATATGTCGGCTGCAAAGTACTAGCTAGATACGGGATATGATAAAACATAGGAAATGCATTTAAAGCAGTCGATCAACAACATTAGCTCTCCTCTAGTTTGATTCAAAAAGGCCATAGGAACTAAAAGATTGGTACCTAATCTTATTGATCAGAAGCCGCTAAAAAGTCTCCAAAAGTTTAGAAAACATAACCTCAACCCTATCTAAACCATGAGTAAAACTTATCGGGTTTTAATGAGATTTTGTCGTGCCATCCATAACATTCTTAATCGCCCTTCAGTTGTATGGAATGAATACTCGTAGTATTTCAAAAAAAATCTCCCCAATAACTTGGAAAACTCCTGCTTCTCAATTTTTCTCCTCTTAGTCTGAATGTTTTAAGGTGGTTTAATCTCGGACTGAAATCAGCTAGAGAACTTTGAAAACAATGTGGCACTGGACAGTTTTTCATTCCAGTTAAGAACTTTATAAAAGCAAATACTCAAGATGTTCATGGTCTACAACTATTATGCTACGATTTAGTCACGGTGTGAGAACCTAACACTCTAGATTTCCCAATTTAGTTCTATTAGCAATACAGTGTAAATGACATCTAATATAATCATCAGACATTTGCCTTGACTTCTGATTCGGTTAGTCCCATAAGTGATTGCTTACAGTATGTACTTCAGGAAATGCATCCCGTAGCTAACTTAATTATTTATTATTCAACTAGACGATTGTGCAGGACCGAATGATTTCGAGGTGGTTTTTCCCACTTGTCGATAAAGGTTCTGAAAGTTCCAATCATATAAATTAAAACACTAAAACCAGGTGAACAATATTGTTTTCAATTAGATCCTCTTCGGGTTTTACTCGAATATAAATCGCTAAATATCTCTACAAATTAAACCAACCATGTAGATTTGTCGGTTAGTGTGATAAGTGTTTTAAAGTAATAATAAAAATAGTAATAATAATAATAATGAATACGTTGACATTTATATTAGAGCCTGAAGAGAGTCTGATTGAAAACAATATTGTTCGCTTATATGTCTTGTTTTAGTTGGTATATACTTAAGAATCACTGAACATTATCACAAATAAACAGGAACTTTAAATTGTGAACTGTTGGATTCCCAACCACTGGTTTGACAGTGCAGTACGAGTTATAAAACCCGATGACCTCGGGTTCGATTATCCATAGGATTGCTAGTGCACAGTGCTGATACTTAGACTTAGTCTTGACAAGCCTTCAGTGCTCCTTAGTTTTTAATAGTCCTTTATAACTTTAGAATGAAATTCCCAAAGAAACTATTGGTTAAATTCTAGTGTTTGTAAGCTGTTTTTATTTTCCAGCTCTTACCTACACATGTCGAAACATACTACAGTAAAATACAATTAATTTATTTTACTTTTGAAGCTCAATAGTTTTTTCCTATTTGGAAAAGAATGTTGAAGGCGAAACGTGACAACAATCCATGAAGTTATAAACTAAATATAGAATTCAGTGGTTTTGACGGTGGATTGCTGATTCAAGCCTAACCTAGTAGATACAACCTGGGATATTGGATAGTTAAAACCGTGTGCACACAAGGCATGACTTACAACTTGGTGTAACATCACTCAGTTGTGACGAACTTTTACCCCTAAGGAATCATATGTTGGTTAGGGTTTACCGAGTGGTGGAAACTCATGTTTGGAAATTGTGAACAACAAAGTTTATAAGTGTTGCTGATGAAGAAAATTTACTCACTCTTAAACTTTTTGGAATCTTACGCCTCTCTTTTTTTCAATTCCAAGCGCTATTTTTGTTTACATCAATTCTTTGGTACCAAACTATTTATGCGCAGTGATATATACATTAAGATATTAAGTTCGGTCATGCTCAAACAAAACATTTCCAGCCCTTCAAAAAGAGACTACAACGTTAACATGCAAACACATAATTAATAAGTGGAAGTTACCTGTAAAACCTGATGAGGTTTTAAATTTATCTCCAGATTTCGAGAAAGCACTGACACAAGAGCACTGCAAAAGAAGAAATATATTCCAAATATATAAACGAAATTACTTTATATGTTTAAAGTGCAGATTATATATATATATATATATATATATATATATATATATATATATATATATATATATATATATATATAAACACGCCTAGTTTACTAGTTCACTAGACGGTCATAAGATCGGGTAAAGAGGGAAGGTTGGGCATAGGGCTAGCAACCCTACCCCGTAAAACAAACCCAACCGCTAAAGAAACTTCAAAGCAAAAACAAAATATAAAAAATAAAAACAAAATTATTCCTCCCTGGAATCGGAGAGGCGAAAGGATGCCGGTTGGTGAAAGCCTGTCTTCGGAAAGCCAATTAGTCGATGTGTCTTCTCTCTCTCGATGAAAGCGAAAGTAAACGTGGGGACATGGAATGTCCGCACCATGTTTGAACCTAGCAAGGCTGCCCAGATTGCAAAGGAGATGAGAAGGTATCGCATTGAAGTGTTAGGAATTCGCGAAAGCAGACTCTCCAAACTGTCAACTGGAGAATCAATAATCTACTCCAATATTGTCACCCACACGACAACCACAAGCACATTCAGTTTTCGAGTGGCTACCATCATGCCCCCAACAGCATCGAAGACCCTCATACAGTGCGAACCAATCTCCTCAACGATCAGGATCATGACAGCAAGATTCAAATCAAAAGGAAGGAAGGTCACAATCATACAATGCTGCCCTACGCACCTACAAATAATGCAGAGCAAGAGAAGAAAGAGGAATTCTACAGACAACTTCAATCAACACTGGATAAGACCCCACTCCAGTTGGCCACATCAAAATTCTAGTGGGCGACATAAATGTCAAACTGAGAGCGGACAACACAGGAAGAGAACTCATGATGGGTCAAGAGGCACTCGGTGAAATCAACGAGAAGGGAGAAACTGTTTGCAGAAGTCTGCGCACTCAACGATTTGCTGACTGGAGGCAGTATGTACAAACATAAGGATCTTTACAAAGTTACATGGATTTGATTTCACCAGATACCAGGACACACTAAAAATCTGATCGACTTCATCTCAATCTCAAGAAAGTGAAGACGCAGCCTACTTGACACAAGGTCAAGAAGAGGAGCAGGTGCAGGCTCAAACCACTCACTATCTAGTGCAAGGAACCTTCCAAATCAAGTTAAAAGCCTTCAAAGAAGCTGGTGATAGACCACAGTTCAAGTTCAACACCCAGATCAGAAACTGAAGGACGAAACTACAAATGAAATCTTCACATCAGTCATCAAGATAAAATGGGAGATATCGAGCAACATCCCTGAAGAAAACTGTGTGGAAGAACACTGGAACTCCTTGAAAGAGACGTGCAAGGAAACCTGCATAACCGTATTAGGAAGGAAGAAGAAAGAAGATAAGGAATGGATCTCGACGGACACATCGAAGCTGATTGGGGCGAGGAGGAAGATGAAGCAGAAGACAAACCAGTGCAAGGATGAACGACGAGAAGAGGAACTGAACACAACTTATAAAACACTACGCTGGACAAAGAAGTGAAGAAGAGTGCGTGCAAACACAAAAGATACTTCTATGACATACTGGCAAGTGAAGCAGAACAGTCTGCAGGTAGGAGAGACAAAAAACCTAACAACACTGTATCAAATAACAAGGTTACTATCTGTGAGGGAAGAGATCAACACAGATGAAACCAATAAAAGGTAGTGAAGGAAACCTAGTTAGCAAAGAAGAGAAACAAAGGAAATGATGGGCTGACCATTTCAAAAAACTCTTGAATCGACCACCACCACCACCTGCAACTCGTCCAGGAATACCACCAGCAGCCCAGACACAGAATCACCAGTCAACACAACCTTTCCGACAAAAGCACAAGTGAAGTCCTGAACACCATAAAGTTGCTGAAATGCGGGAAAGCAGCAGCACCAGATGAAATCCAGCCAGAAGCACTAAGTACAGACGCAGAGACAACAGTGCACATCCCCATACCACTGTTGCAGAAGGTTTGGAAGAAAGCAGGGAAAGGTACCTGCCCAGTGATTGAGAGAAGGGCTACCTAGTCAAACTACCAAACGAGGCAGACCTAAGTCATTGCAAGAAGAAGAACTGGCACGCGATCATGTTGCTGTCCACCTTAAGCAAAATATTAGGCCGCATCATCCTGGAGAAACTAAAACATGCGCTGGATTCAAAACCACGACCGGAACAGGCTAGCTGGATTCAGTAAAAACAAATCATGTGCGTATCAAATCGTGACGCTACGCATCATCATAGAATAGAGTATAGAATAAAAGTCAACCCCCTACCTCAACTTCATCGACTTCGAGAAGGTCTTCGATAGCGTCGACCGGAAAGTAACTTAGCAGCTGTTTTACACTACGGTGTGCCACAAACCTTTATCAACTTCATTCAACAGCTATTCGACGACGTCACATGCCAAGTGATTCACAATGGAAAGCTCAGTGATGCCTCGGAGTGAAGACAGGAATAAGACAACGTTGCCGCTTACTATCACTGATGATCTTCCTGATTGTAGTCGACTGGACTGAACTGGGTCATGCATGGAACTGTGAGGAAAGAGAATATGGGCATACGCTGTTTGACCGATGAAAAGACCCTAGACGATTTGGATTTCACCGATGATGATTTATGTCTACTGTCTAATTTAGCAAAAACTCGAAGATCTACAGGCGAAAACTAACAAGTTGACAGAAGAGGCAGCAAAGACGGGACTTCAGGTGAACGTAGAGAAGATAGAGATGATGAAGATACCCCAACTAACAACAACAACAACAACAAGCACTAACCACCATGAGCGGGAGAAATCTAAAGGAAGTTGTCTCTTTCATCTATTTAACTAAGCAGCATCGTTCCAACTACAGGCGGTGCAGATGAGGATGTCATAGCCAGGATCAGAGAGACAGCAAGAGAGCCCTTCATTAATCTGCAACCAGTGTGGAAATCTACTGTATTACACTCAGCATAAAGAACAAGATTTGGTTTTTCAACACTAATGTCAGTCAAGTCAGTGCTTCTATATGGTTCACAGACTTGGCGCATTACGAAAAGCATTTCCAACAAACTGCAGATATTCATCAACAGCTGCCAATGCTCGACACTGAAGATCAGATGGTCAGAAAGAATAAACAACAAGGAACTCTGGTCTCACAATGAACTAACCAATAACCCATAGCCCAAAGAATATGCAGATGGATTGGGCACGCACTAAAAAGACCAGGTCCAGGTCCTCGAGTGGAACCCAGATGGGAAACGACGAGTTGGGCGTCCGAGGGTGACATGGAGGAGATTGTGTGAGGGAGTAATGAAAGCTTGTAGGCAGTCGTGGAGCCAGTTGGAGAAGACTGGTGAGAGCAAAGTGAAATAGAGGTGTGCTACTGAAGCCCCCAAAGGACAGATTATAAATATGTATAATTTTCTGCTGTTTATATCGTTAACCGAGTGAGCAATGATCTTAACAACTAGAACAGATATGACTCACTACCAGTATATAAATGGAAATGGTACCGGAGGTTAATTCCGTGTTCTACCATCGATGATTCAATAATTTGCTGTTTCTGTGACGATTTCTGTCTAGTAGTCCATGTTGACGATACAAGTTACACTTACTTTCGGCACCAACCGACCATTTTAATACCTTGAGTGTTTGAGGAATAAGCAGTAGGTTGAAAGCACTAATCATTTCAAACACTACTCATTCTCTTACAGGAAAGGTGAACAATGTCAGAGAAAAAATTCAATAAAATAGATCTTTGAAAACAAATACATGGCTTCCCAATGCTGTATTGTAGGATACGCAGCACAAATCCTAGACTATTACCAATATTCAGTCGATATTAGTTCACAGTAGATAAATTTGGCACAGGACATTTATATGACAAAAGCACATATGATAATAAAAGCTTCATCACTCAGCCAAATGATTTAATTGTGAAGTTTTCGTTGTCTTACCATATATCACACTCAGCCCAAACTTTCACCTCAAAGAACATGTAACCAGCAAGATCATTCTATACACAAGTAAATTTCCACAGCTTTGACATTAACACGTAAAATTCAAGGGGTATTATAAAAAATGAAATTTCATAATAGAGGACAATAATCTGTCGCTGTGCACCATCCGTGACACTTTTTAGAAGCAGAGTACACTTTTGAAGTACTCACTTTAGAAGTACTTTTGTGAACTCTTCAGTATCAGAGAATTGTAGCAGAACTAAGGAATTCTGTCATCCTAGGGTAATTTTTGAATGACTTAAAAACAACCGATCAAATGCGAGTGAGTAATTCAGTAGTTGTTTTTGGAGTAAAAGGGTTCTAGAAAGTTTTTAATTGATGTAATTGATTACAAAATATTGTAGAACCTCGTCAATTTTCAGGTTTTTAGAAAAGGGAAACTAATATCCTCCTGCGAGCTTAAGAGCTACATTTAAAATTACTCGTCTCGATTTAGGAATTAAGACTTAATAATTAACACTTGGAATCACGATCAAGGAGCCGTGTATGAAGTTTTGTTGTTTAGTTTTTAATTTTTAGGAGCATAAAACTGAATCGTCAAACAAAAGTATCTAGTCAGTAGGTCTTTGTTTCAAAGTTGGCACTAAACAGAGGACCTAATTGCAGAAAACAATCCGTTCAGCGGGTTAATAGGTAATGATATTTTTATCTTATTCAAATGATAGGATTTACCGGTTAGAATATTGAGTAAGGTTGTAATATTATGGTGTGTATATTAATGATCACAGTAGCCTACTTAGTATGAGCTGTTCACTCCTGATTTTTTTCTATTTGAAGACAACGCCAAAACCTTAATAAACAGACGGAATTGGTAAATAGCGTACAATAATTAACTAGAGTATAATGTTTTGACATCCCATCGAATTTTTTCACAGACATTACCGATAAATTTAATAAAGACTTGAAAATATGATCAAAATTTTGACTCCTAGTTCTAGCACCTAATATTCATTTGCTGGGGACAAATGGATGGTTATTGGTGTAAATCAGTAAACATTGATTACCAGATTCACTTTCGATCATAAGAATATCGACTGTGAGAATGAAATAAAAGAAAATTTAAACCTACTCAGAATTGAATGAAAATGCGGTACCATTTTCTGACTTCATTCTTGCTATAAAAAATAATTGCAGTTTTTTAATCAAAGAAAAATTAAAAATAGATTTTTAGCGTAAAACAATTTGAAATCTTGTGAAACATTTGACTGATGCACTTCATTCCAAGAATTTTATGGTTTGTAAAACAGATCATATCTACTTTACCAAATGCCTACTATTTTATTCCAGTAAGAGACAATGATACGATACTTTTGTGTCGAAGAACAACTGCCTTACTGTATACTAGTTTAATATTAAATTACTGCGAATATTTGTAATTGATGTGTTCACAGCTGAAACGTCCAGTAAACCGAAATGCAAAGAGAATTCACAAGTTAACAATATATTGTTATACGTTATCGCATGTTTCAGCATATGCTTTATTTTTACCTAATAGTACCCTCAATATCCAACCGAATGTCACATGAAAACAAGTGCCTGACCCAACAGAAGAAACTAAACTCAACAGATAAAACCCGAAAAGTACGCTGTGCAAATGTGATTATGCAAACTATGCATCGACTCAAACTAAGACATGCTATAATCACTTCTTAATCAGTAAGCCTATCTACATAAGCTTGCATTAATTGACAATAAAAATTCTTCAATCCGAAATCTTCTAGAAGCGTTTACTCAGAAGTTCTCAAAGACTTCACAAGCTTGTAAACTTTTGAGAAGTGGGACTTTCAATCCAGGACTTCATAGCACACTCGTTTTGCACACCAAGGACAGTTGAATTTTTACGATGTCCTCCAAGCTTAACATGTCTCCGCTGATTTGTGGAGAGCAACCGACAGAGAAATGCAAAACAAGCTTACTGTAGTTCAGTCGAGACTTGTTTAGCAAGGAAGCCATTTGAGCTGGTGCAAATTGCTAAGTAATTAAAGTGATCAGCGTACCCTACTACTTTCAGATCCTATTCTTAATTGAAAGTTGAAAAGACATCCTAAAGTCATCATCTTACACTAAACAGGTAAGAAAAGCGTGCCAAAAACATGCGGATTTCTGCTCAAGGTGTCCAGAAGACCCTAAACATTTTTAGTTAATCAATTAATTAGTTAGGATCAAAGTGGGACCTGTCATTTATGCGTAAAAGTTTGAGTAACTACATCTCGCCTCAACAAATTAATGAAGGTGCTAAGATAAACGATACAAAAATAAGGAAGAAAGCAACCCAAAGCGGTAGAAGGTCATAAAAAAGTGACAAGGAAAAACGCAGCGATAATAAATTTCGGTATAAGAATTCAGATAGAGATTATGTGTGGATACATCCGTGTGACTGGCATCGGTTCTGAAGCACGTCACCTAGAGTCTCCAACCACTGATTTGTGTTGTCACACGGACTCCAACTAGAAATCCTATATTCTACCACCTGACTTAGACTAGCAGTCAAAGACTTCATGGACTGAGGTTGTTTTACTCTGAACGCGTATGATCGTTTTTTAGCTTAAGTCAATTTCAGTTAATATTGCGCGATGTGGCAGACGGTGACTAGGCGGGCGTAGCATGTGTCCCAGCCACCCAAACCTATAAAAGTTTACAACTTCATAAACTGACTTAGCTCTGCTGTCTAAAACTGTACGCCTGATTTCTACGTTACTGACATGGCACTAAATGAGGTCTGTGCTGTGAAGGCGATGGTGACCGAGTACCTGAAGACCTCTCATGTCCTTTACGTTTAGTAGCCAGATAAAACAGAGTTAACTTCAGCGTAGCATATTCTCCTCTTAATAGCTGGTTAGATACAATGCTAATGTCATAGATGGCATTAGTTAGCTAATGACGATCTAGTCTTCCGTATTCATGCAGAGATTTCGTTAGTCACTTACTGCTACGGCTGATCCGACTTACCAAGAAAATGAAGTGGCTGATGCGTTCAACCACTCAACTTCCTGTTGTTACATGCGCATTAACGCACACCAGCCCTAGAGCAACAGATTGCATATAGGTGGGGAGAAACGAATTTCAAATATCCTCAAATTGTTACTCAAAAAAGTCAGTGACAACTGGACAAATCTCTGCAAATTCAAATCAGGACAAGGCCACTTTGTAAGTATGGCCATGGAAGGGTTAAATACAAGCGTAAGCAGTGGGGACAATTGTGGGGCAAATTGTCATTACTTCAAATGACCCTGAAAAGCACCTGAGTAATCATGTGCCCGTTCGCGCATTAGGAAGTGAGACAGATGTGGTAATGACGAAATACAATATGGCTCCCTAGACGCCCGTAAGTGGGTCAGCGTCGAAAACCACGACCCGCTGATTGAAGATAGAATGCCAAGACCAATAAACTGCAGCTCTACATAACCACTCACATGCCCACGTAGGTCCCAGTAGTGGCCTTTGGTTGGCATTAGATACTTGCTTAGTACTCTTCACAACACTGCCCGGCTTACGGAATCGAGTAAAACCTTTGGGACAAGAAATATAGCAAGTATGAGGTGCTGAAGTAGCCGCTACTTAGTCCAGTCGTTCACTAATCTATGATGAAACCATTACTCTACCTGAACATAATTCACCTACGGCACTGGAAAGTTTCTTCACGGTAATCAAGTGTATAAGTCCAAGAAGGAATAGAGAAATTAGGTAGATCGATATGCAAGTCAGTTTCAGTTTTCAGTTACAAGGATAGTAGGCCAGTTGGTCTGTGTTAATCCTTGCAGAAGATATCTCTGAAGATCTAGTTCCTCCTTGAACACGTTGACCAAAGATGTTCATACTACTCGCTGAGGTAAGGAGTTCTAGTCGTTGACAACATTATGGAAGAAACACAGATTCACGCTAAGTCAATTCGATCGCGGTTTTTGAATTTTCTTGTGCTGCCCTCGGAAATAGTCAGTCCTAGCAGGGGTGAAAAGATCGGACATATCAGTACCCAAGTCATTATTAAGAGTACGAAATGCCAGTATGAGACCACCACGTTCCCTACAGTAAGACGGCCGGAATATGTTTAGCCAACCTAGTCGTCCCCCATCGGCCGGACTCGAAAGGCCTATCACAAGTTCAGTACCTACCCTTTGAACACGCTCGAGTGAGTCAGCATCCTTTTTAAGGCATGGGCTCGCCGCCTGAATGCAGTAATCCAAGTGAAGTCTAACGTAAGTAGAATAGAATACTCTGAACATGACCTGATCAAAAAATTTGAAAGCTCTACGGAAGCCGTTTGCTGCAGCTCCATTAGAGTTTGCCATGGTTTTCAAATCATGACTAGTGATGACACCCAGGTTTTTTGGTTCAAAGACTGGGAGCAGTGGTGCACCATCAACGGAACCACTTGAAACAATTGTTATGACCCATGCGCATTATTGCACTTTTGTTAGAGTTGATTTCCAGGCACCAACGTTTGGACCAACCTACTAGTTCACCTAAATCCGCCTGGAGTGCATACCTATCTGCATCACTGCGTATGGCTCACCAAATCTTTACATCACCAGCAAATAACAGTACCGAAGAGTTGAGCATTTTTGGCAATTCGTTGATATATAACAATAAAAGTAGTGGACCTGCATAATGATCATTATCCAAAACATGAATTCCTCAACACCTCTGCGAACAGTTAAGTCGGAGGATTGTGCTTTATTGCTTAAAGCGAATATTATGAAGACAACGACATGCTAAACCTCGCCTGGTTAACTAGTTTACTAGTTACTAGCCGGTCCTAAGCCCGGGTAAAGAGGGAAGGTTGGGCATAGGGCTAGCAACCCTACCCCGTAAAACAAATCTAACCGCTAAAGAAACTTCAAAGCACAAACAAAATATAAAAAATGAAAACAAACTTATTCCCCGCTGGAATCGGAGAGGCGAAATGACGCCAGTTGGTGAAAGCCTTCGGGAAGCCAATTGGCCGATGTGTCTTCTCTCGATGAAAGCGAAAGTAAACGTGGGGACATGGAATGTCCGTACGATGTTTGAACCCAGTAAGGCAGCCCAGATTGCAAAGGAGATGAGAAGGTATAACATGGAAGTGCTTGGAATTTGCGAAAGCAGATGGAATGGGAGTGGACTCTCCAAACTGTCAACTGGAGAATCAATAATCTACTCCGGTCACCCAGACGCCAACCACGAGCACACTGAGGGAGTGGCTATCATGATGTCCTCAAGAGCATCGAAGGCTCTCATGCAGTGGGAACCAATCTCCTCCAGGATCATGACAGCAAGATTCAACTCAAAAGGAAGAAAGGTCACAATCATACAATGTTATGCACCTACAAATAATGCAGAGCAAGAGAAAAAGGAGGAATTCTACAGACAACTTCAATCAACACTGGACAAGACGTCAGTTGGCGATATCAAAATTCTAATGGGCGACATGAATGCCAAACTGGGAGGGGACAACACGGGAAGAGAACTAACCATGGGTCGAGAGGCACTAGGTGAAATGAATGAGAATGGAGAATTGTTTGCAGAATTCTGCGCATTCAACGATTTGGTGATTGGAGGCAGTGTGTTCAGGCACAAAGATATCCACAAAGCGACATGGATTTCACCAGATGGACACACTAAAAATCAAATCGACTTTATCTCAATCTCAAGAAAATGGAGACGCAGTCTACTTAACACAAGGTCAAGAAGAGGAGCAGATGTAGGTTCAGACCACTACCTAGTGCAAGGAACCTTCCAAATCAAGTTAAAAGCCTTCAAGGAAGCTGGTGATAGACCACAGTTCAAGTACAACACTCGGAAACTGAAGGATGTAACTACAAAGGAGATCTTCAAGGCAGCCATCAAGACAAAATGGGAGACATCGAGGGACATCCCTGAACAAACCTGTGTGGAAGAACACTGGAAGTCTTTGAAAGAGATGTGGAAAGAAACCTGCACAGCCGTATTAGGAAGGAAGAAGAAAGAAGATAAGGAATGGATCTCGACGGATACCTGGAAGCTGATAGAGGAGAGGAGGATGGTGAAGCAGAAGATAAACCAGTGCAAGGATGCTCAACGACAAGAGGAACTGAGCACAATGTATAAAACACTGGACAGAGGAGTGAAGAAGAGTGCACGCAAAGACAAAAGACACTTCTACGAAACACTGGCAAGTGAAGCAGAACAGGCTGCAGGTAAGAGAGACCTGACGACATTGTATCAAATAACCAGGTTGCTATCAGGGAATAGACCAACACAGATGAAACCAATAAAAGATGAAGAAGGAAATTTAATTACGAAAGAAGAGAAACAGAGGAAACAATGGGCCAACCACTTCAAGAAGCTCTTGAATCGACCACCACCTGCACTTCGTCCAGAAATACCACCTGCAGCCGCTGAACTACAAGTGAACATTAATCCCCCAACGAAAATGGAAGTCCTGAACGCCATAAAGCTACTGAAATGCGGGAAAGCAGCAGGACCAGATGGAATACCGCCAGAAGCACTGAGAACAGATGCAGAGACAACAGCGGCCATGCTCACACCACTATTGCAGAAGGTGTGGAAGGAAGAGAAGGTACCTGACGATTGGAAGAAGGGTTACCTTGTCAAACTGCCGAAGAAGGGAGACCTCAGTGCTTGCAACAACTGGCGCGGAATCGCTCTCCTGTCCACCCCAAGTAAAATATTAAGCCGCATCATCCTGGAGAGGCTAAGGGATGCACTGGATTCAAAACTACGACCGGAACAGGCAGGCTTCAGGAAGTACAAATCATGTGCAGACCAAATTGCAACGCTCCGTATCATCATAGAACAGAGCATAGAATGGCAATCACCTCTCCACCTCAACTTCATCGACTTTGAGAAGGCCTTTGACAGCGTCGACCGAGAAGTAATTTGGAAACTGCTTCAATACTACGGAGTACCGCAAACCTTTATCCGCCTCATTCAACAACTATATGAAGATGCTACATGCCAAGTAATCCACAATGGGAAGCTCAGTGATGCCTTTGAAGTGAAGACAGGAGTGAAACAAGGTTGCCTACTATCCCCCATGATATTCTTGATTGTGGTGGACTGGATCATGCAGCAAACAGTAGGCAGCGAGAAGAGGGGGATACACTGGACGACGGAAAAGAACCTAGAAGACTTGGATTTCGCCGATGACTTATGCCTAATGTCACATAAACTTGAAGATCTGCAGGCAAAAACTAACAAGTTGATAGAAGAGGCAGCGAAGACGGGACTTCAGGTGAATATAGAGAAGACAGAAGTGATGAAGATACCGCACCACCACCATCAACAACAACAACAACAAACTCCAATCACCGTCAACGGGAGAAACTTAAAGGAAGTAACCTCCTTCACTTTTCTAGGAAGCACTGTTTCAACTACAGGCGGGACGGACGAGGACGTCAAAGTCAGAATCGGAAAAGCAAGACAGGCGTTCATCAGCCTGAAACCAGTGTGGAGATCTTCTGCACTCAGCATGCGGAACAAGATACGGATTTTCAACACCAACGTAAAGTCAGTGCTCTTGTATGGCTCAGAGACTTGGCGCGTCACGAAAGGTATTTCCAATAAACTACAGACATTCATCAACAACTGCTTACGCTCGCTGCTGAAGATCAGATGGCCAGAAAAAATAAGCAACAAGGAACTCTGGGAACGAACCAACCAAGAACCTATCACGCAACAAATATGCAGGAAGAAGTGGAGATGGATTGGCCATGCACTGAGAAGGCCGACGGAGGACATCACGCGTCAGGCCCTCGAGTGGAATCCCCATGGGAAGCGACGAGTTGGACGTCCGAGGGTGACATGGAGGAGGTCGTGCGAGGAGGAAATGAGAGCTTCTGGGCTGTCGTGGGACCAGGTTCAAAAGATCTCAGAGAACAGAGGTCACTGGAGGCGTGCTGCTGAAGCCCTATGTTCCACTAGGAACCCAAGGGACTAATAATAATAATAAACGACATGCTAAGACCTGAAATCTCAGTAGTGGAAATAGTTAAACCGAAAAGGTGCGTTCCTCCTTCAGTATACAAGAAAATAATCCAAGATCACAGATTAAATGTTGCTCTCCATATCAATGAGAAAAATGTCGAAAATATGAGGAGCGCAAATAATAAGGAATACACTTCAACAACAAAAAGTGGGTAAAATTACAAAAATGGTAAATCTCGACATTTAAAGACAGCACGACAAAAATAAGGTCGCACGGTTTGTCATGTTGAAACATTCAAACCATCATTCTTAGAATTGCCAAGAGAATAAGCAGCTGCAACCGCTCATAACTACCGAATTATCTTTTTGAATCCAAAAATCAAGATACATCATAGTATAGTGTGATTATTGGGCTTAGCAACAACTGTAGCTACAAAAAATTCCCTAAAATGTAATAACCTAGAGTTCGACTTGATTCAACATTGATGTTGATCTTTGTAGTTTTAAGGGACTTTCAAAGTCGAAAACAAACGGTCAGGCTCTCACGCCATTGGCTCACTGTCGTGTTACTTTGGGCTTTTCGTTTGCGATCCACTAGCCAGTTAGTAGGAACTCATCTGCATACTGGCACGGGTTACGAAAAACACTGGTGAGTGTATGACGAATGCGGATAATTAGTGATAGGCCTTTACGTCTTTCAGGTTCATGAAACGTCAATTCAAATTGCTCTTCAGCATTAAGCTTGGAGGTTAGTGAGTAGTACGCTGCGTAGGCCCATCTGATCACACTTTCTGTGAAGATTCAGTCCCTCACTCAATTTTTTCGTGGGGAAATCGACAGCCGATTTCTACTGTACCTATTTCCAGTGTTCAACCTATCTACTGGAAATTCGGTTCTCCATTTGATAAAAGGATTGCCAAGGTGAGTTTGTAATTTGCGCCTATGAAAGCGTAGTTGAAATGTGAAGCTGCTCTTCCTCCTAAATTGAAGCTCTTAGTCTATCAACACCTAAAAGATGTTCAGTACAAGCTAGGCCAAAGTGCTGTCGAGTTTCTGATGTTGACATAAAAGCACCGATAGACGCTGAATATCCGATAATGAAATTCTTCTGGAGCTATCGTCATTTCATTCATTTCTAGCAACTTCCCGAAACACCTGTCCCCCGATCTCGACAAAACCGTTACATCAGTTCCGGAAAATCCAGAATCCAGTAGCCTGAGGGGATAGGTGCTTTCCCTCGTAGCAGCCCATGCGACATGATCCTGCGAAGTACACACAGATAAAATTCTGATCAGAAAGTCGGTGAGCACACTGAAATTCTGAGATAAATCGCAGTTATGAACAGTCCTCTTGGTGCAATACAGGTTGATTCTCCACCTCATGACCTGGTGGGCCAAAATTTGAGGTCTTTATTATTACTATGATTATTGTCAGTCCCTTGGGTTCCTAATGGAACATAGGGCTTCAGTAGCACGTCTCCAGTGCACTCTGTTCTCTGCAATCTTTTGAACCTGGCTCCACGACAGCCCAGAAGCTCTCATTTCCTCCTTGCGCGATCTCCTCCGTGTCATCCTCGGACACCCAACTCGTCGCTTCCCATGGGGGGTTCCACTCGAGAGCCTGACGCGTGATGTCCCCAGTCGGCCTTCTCAGTGTATGCCAATCCATCTCCACTTCCTTCCAGTGCATATTTGTTGAGTGATAGGTTCTTGGTTGGTTCATTGGCAGGCCAGAGTTCCTTGTTGCTTATTCTTTCTGGCCATCTAATCTTCAGTAACGAGCGTAGACAGTTGTTGATGAATGTCTGTAATTTGTTGGCAATGCCTTTCGTCTCTGAACCATACAGGAGCACTGACTTGACGTTTGTGTTGAAAATCCGCATCTTGTTCCAGATACTGAGTGCAGAAGATCTCCACACTGGTTTCAGGTTGATGAACGGCCGTCTTACTTTCCCGGTCCTGACTTTGACGTCCTCGTCTGTACCGCCACCTGTAGTTGAAACAGTGCTGCCTAGATAGGTGAAGGAGGCTACTTCCTTTAAGTTCTCCCGTTGATGGTGATTGGAGCGTGTTGTTGCTATTGTTGCTGGTTGGGTATCTTCATCACCTCTGTCTTCTCTATATTCTCTTGAAGTCCCATCTTCGCTGCCACGCCTCTTCTGTCAACTTGTTAGTTTTTGCCTATAGATCTTCAAGTTTGTGCGACGTCAGGCACAAGTCATCGGCGAAATCCAAATCTTCTAGGTTCTTTTCCGTGGTCCAGCGTATCCTTCTTGAGGTGTTTTTGATGCTGGTGAAATAACGACATCGAGTAGACTGTTGATACGGTTTGAAAGAGAAACTGAGATTTTTTAAGGTTTCCAGTGACAATCGCTCATAATTGATTGTAAGCAGAGATAAGGACAAGCAGAAAGCCTAAGATGGGAAACACTGCATTTCTATTCGGATATTTCGTCTTTAAATTTCTACAGTGAACGTAAAAGTGCGTAGTGGCAGATGTAAAACGAAACGCATGAGATTAGTGAGGTGGAAGGCCATCATTCTTCAAGCCGCGGATGCTATTAGGTCATGTATTGTCGATTTGGAAAGAAATCCTCGAGAAGCCATCGTCTTCATGATTTAACGAAAGATGAACGTATACAATTTGAGGACTTCAACTCTGCTGTCTCGGATAGGCAGTGTCAATCTATCGGCTTGAAACAGCCTAATGGTCTAAAACCATTGGTTGTAGAAAGAAAGTTCCCTGAAAATCCTGACAAATATGTATTCAGTTATTCTTCAGTGTTTCTCTCGGAAACCCAATCCCAAACACTATCACTGGTTCACAAGTTCTGCAGTAGCACGCGGAAAGTTATAAATAACAAATAATAAATATTTCATTCTCACATTAGTAATTTAACGTGAGAGAAGCCAGTTCACAGGCATCATCACTTTGATACATGTTGGAAAATGTACAAAATTTTGCGAAATCTAAATGGTACGGAGTGGAGGTCATTAAATTAGATTAAAAACATCAGAAGATTACACAAGTCATGAAATGAACAAGAAAATACAAATTTTCAGCGTACAAAGGGTGTTAAAGTTTGGATCGTTTTCAGTCATACTTTCTTTTTTCACCGTTGGTGGCGCCAAGGTCGTGCGAAATTCCAAATTTCCGTTACAAGCAGTCGACTTGTTTGATTCGTCTTCACGATGCCCCGTTACGCTGTATAAATGTCTATTTTACCACAAACTCTTATGCTTATAGCTTCGGGTACCAGAAGAACCCACACTGACGACGTTGACAACCCGTAAGTTTCCACACAGTCACGTAATCCAAGTGTTATAATTCACAGCAATATAGATTCGCACCATCAGAATTAGATGATGTGGCGCAAGGGGGGAAACACTTGAGGAATCTGCGGATCAATGGCACTGAGTTTTCCACACTGTTCACTTTAAGGTAGGCAGCATTGTCAAGGTCGTATATTCAATATTGGATGAAGTACTAGAGAAGTCTGTTTCATGGCGTTATTGTGAATATGTTCACTTTAAAATTAATGGGAGAGTTGATCTCCTGGATTTTACTGTCTGTCCAGGCTTTCGATGCCGTTATGACGGCCCAAACATTTGAGTAATTCGAGGATTGATATATGGTTAGAGGGTCAAATAAGTGAATGGTATTGGTAATTCTTGCTTATTGCACAGTAATTTTCGTCGGAGCATAGTATCACTGCTTCGAAAAGAAGTGGAATGTTGAGAATCGGTAACGTGTACTCCTCATTTGCGTCCTGTTGTCATCATTGAAGGCTATCTTGATGATGTGGGTATTCGAGGATCCGAGTTAAACCCCTCGATCGTTTAGCGTTCAGATTTCCAGGTTATTCTGTAAGTTTTCATCATAGTCCAGTTTCTTGATGGGCTAATGATATCTTCATGTTGCAACCATCTGAAATTTTGGTAGAAAAACAACGGAAGCAGGTGTAGCCTCTGCACAATTGAGGCTGCAAATTGTTTATATATTGAGAGTTCCTAAACTGCCTGTAGTTCTGGTAACGGTATTAGTGGTGCCTTTTATGGTGCTGTTCTGTGGTGTAAAGTTAAGCTGTCTTATAAACCTAGTCAAAGTTTTTGATTCTCGTACTTCCATAGGTGGGCTGTTCCATATCTGAGCATATTTTATCACAGAGAAGTTCCCCCTAGTGACTGTTCTGAAATGCTCAATTGACACTGTTGCAGTTACACTTCTTAACGCGTATGCAGTTTTGTTTATGAACCACATGTCTGTGAATGCTCTATAATTTAGCCTTTAAGGAGCTTATAAAACAGTATCAGGTTCAGTCCGAGCCTTCGTTTCCATAGTGGTTCAAGTCCTAGGATGTTGCACCTGGTGGCATATTTTACGTCCTTATTCGTGTTGAGTATTCTCATTGTAAAGTATCTCTGCACTCCTTCAACTTTCGGTCTATCCGTGACCCTTATACTGCTGTATATTTACGAACAATATTCGAGCGGTGGTCGGATACATGTTTTATACAGGATAACTCTAGATTCAGTTCCGTAGAAGTTCCGTAATAAGAAACCCACCAGTTTGCATGACTTCAACATCTGTATGGATACAGACTCCACACTCAGGTACAATTTGAAAACCTGATTAGTCAGATTCCTGATCTCGCTCCAACATAATCACAGGATTTCCAACATTTTGAATCCACTATTCTTGACTGCTGTCGCTAGTTTGCTAATTCAAAATCTAGTTTGAATCATCCGCTGACGAAGGAGCATATAACACGACTCAAGTTGATCACTGATAATCATGACATCATATTAAGTTTTCCTGATAAAGGAGGGAGTGTCGTTCTGATGAATCATCAAAACCACGTCCCAAAATGTCATTGATTCTCTCTGATCAAACTAAGTTTGATAAACCTGTAGGTGAAAGAAACAGAACACAGAAGACTGAGATCCAACCCATAGGTATCCTAGATAAAATGAAAGATAATGCGTTTATTTCCTCTAATTTGTATGAACGCATCCAATCCTCTGGTTTGGCAATTGCACGCCTCTATGGACTGCCGAAAATACACAAAGCAGGATTACCTCTTCGCCCTGCTTTGAATATTTCAGGTTCTTCTTATCGTCATACCTCAGTGGCTAGCTGAACTAGTCAGAAGGCAAAATTCATATTGTTCTATTCGTGATTCATTTGAGTTTATTTATAGCACAATGGGCATTGACATAACCGGTAAAGCTATGTTCTGCTTAGATGTTACCTCATTGTCCACCGGTGCACCATTCACCGAAACTGTTTGTTGCG